CTGCATCTTATCTAAACATACACAGAGAAGAAATCCAGCTTAACAAATTCAGTTTATTTAAAAGAAAAACAAACATTTAGAGGTGAAAAATGTGGTGAAGTAAGCCAGAACATGCATTTATCTACAAGTCACCCAGTTGTTCACCGTCACAGCAAAGTAAAGGGAAATGACAAACCCTGCATTCAAAAGTATTATATTGTTATTTAAGGAGAAAAAAAACTAGTGTTCTCTGTGTAATTTAATAAAAAAGCATCATTTCAAACTATCGGAGGAAGTCTGAAACATTTTAGACTGAGAGTCAATGATGCAATGATAACCTTGTGACCTTGTCAGTATGATGGAAAATCAGGTTTTGCATCAGTGGAGGGCAGGAAGGTTTCCTTTAGCCAGGCACATTTGTCTCCGTGAGACTGAGAATCCCTGAGAACGAAGTGCCTAATACTGCATGAAAAAGTCAGTCAGCTAAACTGCAGTAAATGGTAATATGGTTAAAATCAGTATCAGTATCTTTAATGAATATTTGTCCTGTAACGACAAATATCATGATACGATAAATGTGTTCAAATATAAAATAATCTGATTTAAAGAGCGTTTTATCACCCACCAAAATCTGTGCAGGTGTACTCCGACCCTGTGGCGTCACTGTTGGGTGAGCGTACAGGTGCAACAAAGCAAAGGTGTGGTCAGAGATGAAACAGAAATCCACCGATTTTTAAACATCAAACGCCTCGTGGTTGTCTGCCTCCGCCACTCAGACTAGTGCCAGTTTTTAACCATTTGGTTTGCTGTGTGAAGTCTTGAGTAATGGCTAAAAAGTTTTTTCGAGGTCACTGTGGCCTTGACCTTTGACCCATGATCCCCAAAGTCTAATCAGTTTGTCCTCGAGTCCAAGTGAATGTTTGAAGGGATTTCCTTGAGCAGTTCTCAAGATATCGTGTTCACGAGGCCAAAATCATGTTTTATGAGGTCACCGTGACTTTGACCTTTGACCTTTGACCTTTAAAATGAAGTCACAAAATTCTAATCGGTTTGTCCTTGAGTTCAGGTGAACGTTTTTACCAAATTTGAAGAAATTCCCTCAAGGTGTTACGGAGACATTGCGTTCACAAGGCCAAAACTGGGGTTTGTGAGGTCACCACGCCCTTGACTTTTGACCTTTGACCCCCAAAATCTAATCAGTTCATCCTTGAGTCCCAGTGAATGTTTGTGCCAAATTTGAAGAAGTTTCGCCAAGGCGTTACCATGAGTGTGAATCGATACTAACAGGTGAACCGAGTGGTTACCTGTATTGATGGTCAGGTAGAAAGTGGTTCTGAGTGGCGTCTTGTCTTTTCTACAAAGACTTATGACCATTTTGGGTTGTACGTTCATCCGTCCCATTCTCGTGGATCTCAGTAACACCTTGACGGAACTTCTTCAAATTTGGCACAAACATTGACGAGGACTCAAGGATGAACTGATTAAATTTTGGGGGTCAAAGGTCAAAGGTGAAAGTCACAGTGACCTCACAAAACATGATTTTGGCCTTGTGAACGCAATATCTCCAGAACTCCTCAAGAGAATCCCTTCACATGTGGCACAAACCTTCACTTAAACTCAAGGACGAACTGATTCGATTTTAGTGTTCAAAGGCCGAAGGTCACAGTGATGAAAAGAAAACACTTTTTAGCCATTACTCAAGACTTCAATTTCACACAAATGGTTAATATCTTATGTGACTCTGGATAAACGGATGTGACCTGAAACTAGTCTGAGTGGCGGAGGGATACGACCGTGAGGAGGCGATTGTAGTTTTAGGGCCAGAATGTTTGAAAGCAAAACAATAACAAACTGTAAATGTAAATCCAAACCTGTAACAAGAGACAGTAAATGAGACAGTAAATGATCTCAGTAAACAGTATTTAAAAATCCTGAACCACATGAGATATTTAAAGACAAAATAAAAGAAATAAAACAACAGATATGGAGTGAGACTGGAAATAAAAATGGTGAAGGAACAAAACCTTCCACCTCCTTCCACACGGAAACATCCAACACCGTCACCACACCAAACACACAAAAGTCTTGTCCTCGGCTGTGCTGTGGAGGCGTTTGTTTAGACCTGATAGAAGGAGGGAGTGTGTGTGTGTGTGTGTGTGTGTGTGTGTGTGTGTGGTGGTGGTGGTGGGTGGGGGTGGGGGGGTGATGCAGTGCGCTCAGGGCCTCGGCGAGTGTTTTTTGCATGCGACACAATGATCTTAAAGGAATCTGTTTCTGTGATCACGAAGTGGTTCAGTAGCAGATGGAGCGGAGGAGGCGAGGCTCTGCAGAGAGGGGGAGCAAGGTGTGACTGAGTGGGTTTGTGGATGTTGTCGGTCCTGTTATGGCCGCGTTTACGACGTGTTGATAAAAAAAAAGCGAGAGGATCCTCTTCCAGAGCTCAAAACCAATGACCCGAGACTTAAATTTGTGATGTCAGCGAGATGTACGGCTCCGCACTGTTTTATATGTGCCTTCATACAAAGCTTGTTTGAGCTTTTGCGCCCATAGGAGATTTCGTGCGCAGAGTTATGAACCAGAAAATCATTCTGGGCACTGAAACCATCACCTCGTCCATCATTTCCAAATTGATTCCCAGTGGACGTTAATGTGAAATTACAGCAGGCCCTCTCTTGTTATGGCTGTGGGAAACAGAGATGAGACGCTCACCAGGGTAGATTCTGTTTATTTCAAAGCTGCTTCAAGTATTGTTTTCTCTTAGCTCGGCGCTGCACAAATTAGCTATTTTTAGGACCATAATATTGACATGTACTTGAAAGTCTTACCTGATTCCAGGTCGACTGTAAATAAGGTCTTTATGGAATTTGCATATCAATGCGCTGCAGGCAGGGATGCAGTGGTTTCAGCTCCATACTTAATAAATCAATTTTCAGTACAGATGCGCTCGTTTTAAGAGGAATTACCAGCCGTTACACAAACTGCTCCGAAAATGACTAATGATGTGTTCTTCTCTGAATACAAGATTAATCATTTATGACTGCCGTTCATTAAGGACAGAATGCATTGCTAACAATGATGTATTTCAGCTGAGATTTTTTTTTTTTTTCCTAAAGGAAGTGGCGCCTTAGAGGACAGGGGCGACACTCTATAAAAGTCCTTGTTAGGCAGGTATGGCAGTTCAGTCCCCGGTGGCTGCAAGGGCAGACGGAGCAGCAGTCGGATGAACTGTGGCTCCTGCCCAAGTAGTTATATGCTACTGTCACTGCAGCCTGTCCAGCTGGTGGTGCAGTGCTAACTTTTTTACTGAATGCAGCAGAAGACAGAGTTTCAGGAGCAGACCTGGAGGCTGTTTCAGCTGCAACAAAAGGGAAGGGGGCAAAAAGAAAAGTTTTTAGGTATTTGTACTTTACTTCAGTACTTCGTTTCTATGTTACTTTATACTACATCGATATATACAGCAGAAATCTTGGTGTAATATTTCAAACCGGACCTCCTCGTAGAAACAGTTTGTGCACTCATGTTTTCATCAGCTAAGGATTATACTGCAGCTGTAGACTAAGGTCATATTAGTCCCATTTTAGCCTCCTTACAGTGGCTACTGTGTCTTTCAGGATCAATTTTAAAATACTAATAAACTGGAATAAACTGTGGATTTGCTGTTAGAGCCTCCAGACTTTGGCGTGTCCTGTCTATGGAGATCAGGCCCCAGTTTAAAACATGATTCAAAACATACTTGTATAAATCAGCTTTTATTTCTTGATGTCAGTGCTTTTATCTTTGGTTTTATTTTCTTTTGTCTGCTCTATTGTTTTAACACACATATTTGTAATTCTCATCCTGCTAATCGACACGTTACTTCTTCTCTGTGTCTTTTATTGCTTTGTTTTGTTTTTTTATGTTTGTACAGCACTTTGTTTGAAAAGTCCCATATAGCGATAAATAAAGTTATTATTACATTGATCCTTTTTACTCTGCACATTAATCTGACAGCTATGTTTACACGTTACTTTGCAGATTTTACAGACAAAACATTTGATCATCTTGAAAATGATAATGATCCAATAATAAACAGTAAATACTGATATAATACTCTGAAAGCGGCACAAGTACTTTTGTTTTTGGTATTTGCGGAGACTTTAACTTGAATGCAGGGCTTTGATCTGTAACAGATTATTTGTTCAGTGTGGAGCTGCTGCTTTTTCCTCTGGATCAAAGTGAAAACTGAAATCCACCTCATTAATAAAAAACAGAAAAACTTTGGAGGGATTCATTTGGATAGATTATTCATACAGATTTATTCCTGCCGATGAGCTTCCCTGCAGCTGTAAATGTTGATGTATCAGTTTTTGGATCATGCGCCAAAAAATCAGAAAAACACTTAAAGCCACGGTGGGAAACTGTTTTTTGTTTTTTGTTTGTTTTTTGTTTTTGTTTTTTTGACTTTGGCATCCCTCAGTGTTTGCAACAAAAAAGACTCTGGTGGTGTCTGTCTGGATTCAACACTGTTTTGAATGTGAGTCTGAGATGAATGGGCTGAAAGCAACAACGTAGATTCACGTGGTCGGTCTCATTTTTCAAAAAAGAAAGAGAAAAACGTTGCTTTAATTGCCGTGAATACATAAAACGACTGACTGCCCTCAGTCTGTGACCACCCGTGTGTGTATGTCCTCTCTATGTCCCAGAAAGTAATGGAAATAAATCAAATCAAAGCAAATGTCAGTGTTTTCCCTCTCGCTGTGGGGGCAGACGCATGTTTACAGCCGTGCGGTCCAGCTGAGCCTTTCACTCCTGTAACCTAAACAAGATTTCCGAAGATACCGACTCGCTCCTCTTCGTGATGCGTAGGAGGAAAAAGGCCTTGAGCCGCGGGCCGCCGCCGAACCGCTGGGGGAAAAGAGACGAGGATTTGCTTTCAAGTCTAAACAGGTGGGAAAAAATATCGCCGAGCCGAGGCTGAACAGATTAAACGGATTTACGAGCAGCAGTATTTAAGTAACGGAGAGGAGAGGACGGTCACAGGTGGAGCAGGTGTTCACAGAGGAGAAGAAGGAAGGAGACGTGCAACTGAGATTCAAAGCAACAAGGTACGCCTTCTTAAAACTGATGTAGTTTACATGCAAACGGCTGAAACTGTATCAATGATTTATAGTTGCAGCGCTTCCTGTGAAGAATTAGATTCATCATTATAGTTTTGTTCAAAAGTGAAAGTCTGGATAGAGGAGTTAAACTGCAAGAAGTCTTAAAATATGTACTTGATCATTCAGTCTCTCAGTTTTATCTCTGATCACTTTCGTTCTGCTGGTGTTGAGGGATATTTTTCTAACATGCATCTTGATGAATGTGTTTTTATCAACAGTCACTAAAGTCAAACACAAAACATTTTCTCACTGGAGTTAGGAGAGATCCATCTCAGAGATTTCCTCCTGTGTTTAATGTGTTAAAAAGATGCATTTAAAAAAAAAAATCAGCAGACGTGTAATCCACAGAACAAACTGTTTTTCTTTTTGAATGTGGAAGTTCTCGACCTTGGAAACTGTAACAGCATTTTGACAAAATGTGATCTGAATCTAAACTGTGAGACTTGATGGAAACCTCCAGAAAAAGCCAGTTAATGGACTTAAAGATTATTTCATCCTTCATCTATTATTATTCATCCGTTATTAGATCAAAGGGAAACGGCTCACAGTTAGGTGTGTTGATTATTAAGAGGAACCAGCACATTGTTTCAAGAAGGACGTTTTTGCTGTTGAGTTTTAAAATGTAAATTTAAACATTTGAGCGCCACAAATATAATTCTGTTCTCCTCAGTTGTGTTGAGGTGGATGAATATCTCTTAACCTTGACATTTAAACACAGAACTTACTGTGTGGCTGATTAATGTGTAACCCAGGGGAATAAGAATATGAGGATAAAGAAATGAATTTCAGTGAATAGAGGCTCTAAAAATAAACTTGGAACAGTTTGCTAACACAATTTATCTTCTTGTTATATATTTCATTACAGATTTTATTCCATGATTTATACTAGTTATCAAATCTGACTTCTGAATATCACCTGGAGATAAAAACCACCATTAAACACACTCCTTTAATCCACATTACCTTGCTGGACCCTCTGATTTGGTGTAAAATCTGATGTGAGACCTGGTCCCCTCTTGTGGCAGGAGTCTGCGCTGCACCCAGCAGAGGATGCAGCTGGTTGTCATGGCAGCAGTGCTGGCGATGGCGGAGGCGGGGCAGGGCTGCAGCTTCGGCTGTCACCCGACCGTCGTCAACATCTCTGTGGAGAGCTGCGCCGGCCCCGAGGTCGTCCGCACCACCATATGTGCAGGACAGTGTTACCACGAGGTAACGGTCGATTCTCACTCTGAACACGCTGCAGCGAAGTTACAGATCAGCTCTTTGTTCATAATAACTTTAATTATTTAATCTGCTTATGTGTATGAAAATGTGAAGCTCAGCTCTTACTGATCATGCTCCAGTGTCCAAAGTGTCACAGTGTTAATGTTATAGGGTTGAAAACAGTATTGATTATGTTTGATAAGGGAGAATTTTATTCAATTTCACCATTATTATCATTGTGAAAACAACAGATTTATTAAAGTTACACAATTAAACAACAGGATGGAGAGAGACAGGTCAACACACGGGAAGGTTAAAGGATAGTTTTAACATCTTAACGTGTTATCTTAAAACAAAAGTCAGGTGCCGTGTGAAGCAGATTTTGCTCGCTGTAATTATTCCTCCAGTGACTTTTAAACGAATCCTTCCTGAAGCGCGTCCAACGTAACTGATGTGGGACAAAAGTCACAGTCCATGTTTTGTCCTTCAAAATTAAATTAAATTAAATTAAATTAAAGGGAAGGGGAGGGAAGAGTTCAGAGAGCCACGGCTGTTTCAGTCTGTTTCATATCGACACCTGAAACTGAACTGACTTTGTTTCAACTGAAAAATGTTATGGAATATATAATAATTAATAATAAAGCCCAGGATTATTAAATTATCTCAATTATGATTAACTAGTCTATCTGGATAATTTCATCAAGTGAAACTCAGAATCTTCTCGAGTCTTGAACACAGACTAACAAAAAGCCCTGTTGAATGTTTTATTTTGAAAAGCTAACTTGCTTCCTGAAGCCTGCAGGTCAACTGCTGCATTTACAAACTTCTTTGATTTAAATAAACCTTTAACTGTGACACATTAGATTTAGTTGTGGTCAATATTTATTTATTAAAAGTAAAGATTATAGAAAGTGACAGATTTTATTGATATATTATCAGCTTGTCAGTCATTTGTAAAGTGCACTAACCTGTACGAAAGGTGCCGTCGAAAGAAAAGTTTTTCTTTTTCAAGAGAGACCTGTGAACAAAAAATATCCATATACAGTTTATACATAGACAGACATAAATTCACAGGGTTTACAGTGGACACACACAGAATAAGTCACAGACATACATTAATATATGAGTACAACGAGATTTGACCATTTGTCGGATGAATTTCATTTATAATTTTTATTTAAAACTGGATTAAAGAGATGATCATTCTTTCACTTGTTGTTTTGAAACTGAGCTCATTGTGTTTGTGTCCTGCCCCGCTGACGAACAGGACCCGGTCTACATCAGCGACTACGACTGGCCCGAACAGAAGACCTGTAACGGGGACTGGTCCTTTGAGGTGAAACACACTCCTGGATGTCCGGTGGGCATCAGCTACCCCGTGGCCAGAAACTGCAAGTGTGCCGCGTGTAACGAAGACAACATGTTCTGTGGGCGCTTCCTCGGAGACGTGTCCAGCTGTCTGTCCTTTTAGAGAGCCGGTTCTCCATCCTTACGTTTACTGTGTCACTTGACTTGGGACTGAAATAAACAGGCATCACTTACTGTTTTTGGCTTTTTCTAATTTGTCCCGTCTTTTAATCCGAATAACGACAAGAAAGTGTCTGTTGCTGTAAATGTAAATAAATGTCCCACCAGCAGTTTCCCTGTTTGTCCGGACCGAGGTGGACGACCTCTAAAAACTCCAAGTGTTCATGCTGAGAGCAGGAAAACAACCCCGACTCCTTTTTTTTTTTTTTTTTGACAGGTGGAAATGAAAATATAGAGTTTGCAGTGGGTCGAGAAGCGACGCTCTATTGCTCAGTGATCAGTGGCACGCTTCAGCTAGAGTTAGAAATACTGTAGTTTGCTGCTTCTTTTTTTACGTTTTCTGTTAGAAGGAAAAGTTCGACATTTTGTGAAACATCCCTCTTCACTTTGTCGCTGAATGTCAGATGAGAATATTTATGCCGCTCTCTTCTGTCTGTGAATATATACACCAATCAGCCATTACATTAAAACAAGTAACTGCTTTAATTGTTGTGGCTGATTGGTGTATATCTGTGGCCTGTTTTAAGACTTCATTCTGAATCATGAGGAATTTGTTTTGAAACTTAATATGTAGTTTCAATTATTTTTTACAGCTGATCGATGTAAAGCTTCAGCAGATTTGGTTTAGCTTAGCTTAGCATAAAGTCTGGAAGAAGGTGAAATAGTCGTAGTCGAGCAGATAAACCTCCCCGAAAGCCACAACTTATTGTTTTTACACTTCGATATAACATGTTAATTACTGAAATTTAATGGTTTGTGTATACCTTTGGACAGAGCCGAGCTAGCAGTTTATGCTACGCTAACCGTCTCCTAGCTTTAGCATCATAACTCACAAATTGCTCCTTTAATGTCTGCATACAATAGGTTATATTCTGTGTTCTTTGGCTGTTAATCCATTATTATGGTTTATTATATTGCGTCATAGTGAAATATTTGCTGAAATAATTCATGACACATTCTCTCACTTGGTGCAAATTTAAAACACTGACCAGTAAAAATGAGTGAGCGCTCCTGGTCTGTGTTTATCTCAAATTGAAATTAAAATTCAGGAAACTAGATTCCAACCACAGAACTAATGGACACCTTCACAGGGGAACAGGAAGATTAATAAATCAGCTCTCTGTCCTTAAGTCCACCGGAGGCTTTCATTGTTTCTGTGGTGAAATATGAACATGGTTTGTTTTTAGCCAGAAGCGGGCGCAGCTTCTGAGTTAGCAGTTAGCGTAGCATCTTTATTAATCCGGAGACACGGACAAACCAGAGCTCATGACAGAGAACTAACTCGTTATCATGACAAGCTGTTATAATTACTGCACACAGCGTAGTGACTCACCGGCGTCTACTTCAGGCTCACAGTAAAATTCAGCGTCAGTGCGGTGAATGAATGTCATTGAGGAAATCATTGTGCTGTGATTTATTTGACTATTTAATGTTTGCTCGGAGGCACAACAGTTAGGACTCTGTTAGGAGGGAGCTGGACCGTCGCTGTTATTCCCCAGTCGCATGAAAAAGAGAGAGCGGCTCCACGTGATGAAACATTTATTCTTATTGCTTGTGAAAGGGAATATTAAAACTAAAACAGAAGAAGAAGAAATGAAGAGAACAGTGACGCCAAGCAGGGATTGTACCTGCGGCTCGTGACGGCTCAGTAACTTTTTAAAGATTGTGAAATTGTCTCTTTATACTTGACGAGGTTTAATCTCGAGGTTTGAAGACTCACAAGAGACACAAACAAATAATGGAGATCCAGATATTCTCATTTTTTAGTTCCTAGTGCAAGTCGAGCTCCAAAAGCAGCAGAATCTTATTGTTCCTGTAAAACAACTGGACAGTGTTTTGGTTATTTTTATTCCTCCGTGTCGGCGACAGTCAGAGCAGCAGCCATATTGTTTTCAGGTTGTCCGCCCCATTCTCATGGACACGATATCTTTACTTCTATCTAACTTCTTCAAATTTGGTACAAACATTCACTTGGACTCAGGGATGAACTGATTAGATTTTGGTGGTCAAAGGTCAAGGTCACGAAGACTTCACACAGCAATTATGACAGAATTTCACACAAATGGTTCATATTTTGTATGACTCTGGATAAACAGGGATGTAACTTGTAGTCTGAGCGGCGGAGGGATACGACCACGAGGAGGTGATTCTACTTTTAATTTTGGAAAAGCTCCCTCCAGAGCCAGACATTCTCCAGCTGTTGTCACAGGCCGAGTCGTAAGCTTCTCTTTATAACAAGCAAACTGAGCTTGAATGTCAAATTAAATCTGGATCTTTAATCTGGAGTGATTTTAAATGTGGGCAACTGGAGAAAACTTGTATTCAATATCAACTTTTCAGCCAGCCAGGAGAGTGCAAGGGTCAAAGCCAAAGTGTCGCAGCGAGTGAAACAATCAATGAAATGATGAATGATAGAACAGAGTGATCGATGGGAGAAGAGGCTGGAAAAGAAATAAGAGGTGGGGAGATTCCAGAAAGAGTTTTTGTACTTGTGAGACTGAAGGAAGTTCAAGAGGGAAACAGACAAGAGGCAAAGCTGAAGTTGCTGTTTGGAGGCCGGAGGGAAAAGTTAAGACCCGATGACGCGGCGGTCAAGCCTGCAGGCGACCTGGGCTGCTTGTAGTAGTAGAGGAGGACGAGCTGGCATGTGGAGATGGTACTGTGTGATGCTGCTGCTTCTTGAGCCTGTTCTACGTCACAGCGTCAACATTTCCTATTCCAATAGAAGCAGCAGATGTGACGTGAAGGCAAATCTAATTCCCCAAAGACACAGTTTCCACTTCTTACAGCCTGGGTTTATTAATCAGCCCCAAACCCTGAAGCTAAAGTTGGAAATAAATCTCTGTTAGTTTCATAGTTACGGTTAAGAAAAGACAATAATGACAAGACTCCCGTATATAAATCAATGCCAACCTCTTATTAACTGTTTTGCGGCTGGAGGCTGAGCAGTAACTTTCGAGGAAATCTGATGTGCATGTGAAAACATCCACTTCCTGCCTGAGGTTCAGAGGGAATTTGTGGAGTTCTGCTCATCACAAACAGAACTGTAAAGGATTTTATTATTATTGATTCATATATTTGTTCGAATCATCTTTTCTTTTTTTTTTCTAGAAATAAATAAATAAATAAAAACTAAAAGCCTCAAGTGACGTCTTCAAATTAGGAGACACGGACCAACATTTCCACCACTTTGATCCAGACTGAAATATCTCAACAACTACTGGATCAACTGCCATTCAATGTTACAGACGTTAACATCAGCCGCAGGATGATTTATAATAAGGTTTCATTTAGCACCATCATCAGGTCGAAATTTAAAGTTGTAATTTATGAAGAAATTCCCACAAAACTGATGAACAGTCCCTTTGGCCTCAGCTGTTCTTTGTATTTAGTGCTAATTAGCAAATGGTAGCATGCTAACACGCTAAGATATACAGAACAGGATTAGGGTCACGTGATTTTTTTTTCTTCTTCTGACTTTATTTTAATTAATTCTGACTCTTTTTTTTTTTTTATTCTGAGAAAAAGTCTGACTTTTGTTGGTCCAAGTCTCCTAATCTGAAGACGTCACTTTAGGCTATGAGAATTTGTGATGAGCGTTTTTTAATTTTTTTATTTATACGAAACAAAATTATGATTCTAACAAATATATTAATCAATAGAAAAATCATTTAAATCAGTTCTGTTTTTATTTATTTAGTGATGAGAAGAAATTTTGACTTTTTCTCAGAATTAATTAAAGGCAGAATTTTTAAAAATCTTCTTTCGTAAAACTAAGATGGTGAACGTGGTTTTCTTCTTGTCCATCAGTTCATCAGCTTCATGACACTAAAGACTGGAGACACATTGGAGTGAGAGTTGTGACGGCCTCATTACTTTGTCTTCTCTGTCAACTTCCAGAAAGACCTCAGACCTTTTCACTCATGTTCATGGATTTTGTTTCAGCCTCCGCTCCTCACCATCCGGCTCAGTGCAGGCTGGATATCTGCCGACGGGTTTCAGCTCGCTCGGGTCGTCGGTGTCCTTTAATAGCAGCTTGTTTTTATCCGGCAGCTCCCTGGAGGTTTGTGCTCTCTCCTCTCTAATGACTGCTGATATTTAATAGACATTTTATCAAGACTATAGACCAGTCTGTCGCTCTGCCTCCTCTGCCGGAGGGAGGAAACGGACACAGTCGTGGAGTGGATGGCTTTGTGTCAGGGTTAGGGTTAGGGTCAACTAACTGCTGCTAAAAGCACACAGGGCTCTGGATGAGTGCATGAATTTGAACTTTCATGGAGAAAACTGTTTTAATTTGGCTGAGAGTTACTTTGCTGAATTGTCATTTTTTTTAAGCTTTTCTGTGAAATCCTGGTTTGACTTCTTGAATTTAACTGATGTGCGATTTAAACCAGTGAGAGGGAAAAGCTGCCAATAAAAATATAGACAGTTGATGAAAAGTCAGGGGTCAGAGTTACTGCAATTCCTCTGGAGACTATGAATGTTTGTACAATATTTAGTGGCAGTCTATTTACTGTCTGTTGAGACTGATATTATATTTAACATCTAGTCACAGTGTGTGATTAATATTCCTGTACCTGTGTCGTATGAGAGAGTGGGTGTCGTCTGGTTGTGGAGCGTCTCCTGAACTTCGAGCTGCTGCAACATGAATTTTCTCACTGGGAAAATATTTTAACTTGAACTTAAATGTGGGTTTGGAGCTAAAACCTCAGCTGCTCTGATGAATGACTTGCTCTCTGCTCTCATTTCATAAATATTAATACGCTTCATTTATATGTTCCCCTTTAAAAAGAAATGAGCCAGAAATGCATTATGAAGACAGTAGTGATGCAAAAATTAACATTTATCAAAACAACGTGGTTTTTGTGATGTTATGGAAAGCCACCAGCCCCTCCCTCTACACACACACACACACACACACACACACAAACACACACCCCTTCCCTGAGCAATTTCCACTTAAAAACAAAAATACACACTGCTGTAATTCCTCAATGTTCCCTGGAAATCAGCAGCCGTGTGACACTTGACCTGCAGTGGAGCTCAAGGACAGAAGGACGTGTATAAATGAGACTTTACTCACTGTCTCTGGGCAGCTCTGCAACCCTTCCTTTAGCCTGCATGCTGAACTGCTGTGTCATGCTGCTCACCTGCTGCCTCAGGCTGTGGACTGTACAGGGGCAAGTGACAAGATGGCTCCTCTGGTGCGTCCAGTCTGTGATTAAAAAAACCACCTAATGGAAATAAATTAGTTACATTTTAAAACAACATTAATTTCCCACTTGGATTATTGGGATGACACATTTTTTAAAGTCTTTACTTGTTATTCTCCATATAATAACATCACATAGTGACTTCCCCTACACCTGGACAGATGTACAGTGATTCACTGTTCATGTAACTCAGTGGTTCACAGCAGCTCCTGAACATCCTGTGGTGAACAGTACCCAGCAAGAAACATATGGAGGTGATCTGAAGTTTGAACACCACAAAGACACAAATGTTTTTCTCCTTCCACTGTAAAACATTGTCAGTGACTTGATAAATCTTGGTTTTATATTAAATATGCAAAAAAACCCAAAATATTACTGCTTATAATGAATTCAAAACTCACCATTCATTACTCACAATTACACATTTAGAACACATATGCCTTTCTCTCATCGTCAACCAACTTCACTACAGATTATATCGATTAATTGAGCCCTGATGTCAGTTCCCCATTTCAGATGTAATATATATTTTATCCTTCTGTAAATAATTCACGTAGAAAAGAAAATTAAAATATATGTTGAACTACAAGAAATTCAGCAACTCACTGGGACAAAGTGGAACTTCCCTGGAGACGGCCGGACATGAAAACATCAGATGAGATCAGTTTTATTCCCAAATGAAATCAACAGTGCAGACATGAAATATTAAGAAAAAGCTTTATTAACACAAGTTGCAACATACAAATGTTCTTCATGTAAAACACAAAAGTGAAAAAAAAAAAAAGGAACAACAAAATGCACATCCAACATTCAGCAGAATACTTACTTTGTTCTGCAGAGTTTCTACCACGGGCAGAAGCTCTGCAGAAACTGTTATTAATTAATATTGTGGAAGATTCTTTTAAACATCATTGTGTTCTTGAACGATCCACCAGCAGCTGGGCTCGGAGCTGGATACAGGAACTGGATTCAGGAGCTGGATTCAGGAGCTGGATTCAGGAGCTGGATTCAGGAGCTGGATTCCCAGAAGCCCCATGGTTCCATGATTTAACATTTAAAGCCGAAGAGTCACTGCTAACTAAATAGCAAACTTATTGCGGATGATCTCTCCGCCTTCCACCTCCACCTGCTCGTAAAGCCACTTCCTGTCGCAGCGGCACTCCACGCCGCACTTGCGCGAGCCGCACTCGGGGCAAGGGTAGAAGCAGCCCATACAGTCCACATCCAGACAGTCGCACATGTCGTTGCCGTTGGAGAGCAGCCGGCCTTTGTTGTCGTACACTCTGCTTTTGGCCCCCAACGTCTGCCTGCGTGACCCAGAGGGAAAAACTGATATCAGTGATTGATCCGTTCACTCTGATACAACAGTCACATTTTGTTTTCCTGAAGCATTTTTCCCGCCTCAGTGGATTCCTGTAATTACTTTCTCCCTTTTATTTACGCCTGACAGTAACGACAATGTGAAGTGATCACAGCTGAATATAAACCATCTCAGTATAAATCTGCATCCACGCTGCTGGCATCTACCGCAGTCAGGCAATGACAGTTAATATAATGAAGCGCTCAGTGAGGAGGGGAAAACCTGGGGACAGTTTTGTCTTTCACTTCATTATGAAACAGTGATCAAAGTTTCAGATTTAAATCATCTAATTAAACAACACAGAGCCTGAAGGAAAAACCCTTCCCTCTGCATCCATCCCGTCCTCATGTTTCTGTTACTTTCCAAACTAGATCTGAACAAGCGCTAACTGACCTGTGTGGGTCTGTGAGGGACTGATCAGTCTTTAAAGTGCCGATGCTTTCACACTTTATTTGCGAATACAAGCCTAAGTAGCCGTGCTAACACGTGGGAGCAGCGGGTCTCGACATATCCTGGTAAAAATATGATTTTTTGGAATATACCGAGCATCTAGACACAGAAGGAAGAAGTGAATTGTGGTTTGAAAAATGCTTATTTTTCATTTAACTTTGTTTTTTATGGCATGAAACCGAGGTGCCTTTAGAATCCATTGTAACCGCTACTTGTCTACTGTCTGTGGAGATATTTATATATACACAGTGAAATTAGTAATGGCAGCATTTGATTGACTGATTTTTAGATACTGACACCAAAATCTAAAACTTCCCGATGACAGTTTAGCTTGTGCATTTTTTCCTGCTATAAATTTAATGTTGCTGTTGCTGTAAATATGTCAACACATCATTAAACTGCCTGGTCAGAGAAATAAACCGTCAAACACATAATCACCCCAGAAATCTAAGACATGCCGCCAGCAGCTCTCTTTATTTTGTTCAGGTCTTTTTATGTTTATTTGTTGTATTTTTTGTGTGTGTTTAGTGCAGGACACACTACCGAGTCAGAAACAGATTAAATCAAACAGCAGCAGGTTTATCTACTTCACTGAGAAGAGGAGATGAAGAGGTGTTAACTATAAAGTAATACAAAAGAAACACCCACACAACGTCTCACCTGTCAGTCAGTTGTTTTCCTCCACGGCCGCCTCGTCCACCCTGTGATAAAATACATACGCACATTTTATACTAAAGTAAATAATAATAATAATAAACTTTATTTACAGAGCACTTTTCATACAAGAGTTGTGGCTCAAAGTGTCTTACAATAAAAAATGAAATAGTACAATAAAGTCAGGGCGGATTGAAGAACAATGAAAATAAACAATAGAAAGACAGAAGATGATAAAATATGTAAATGAAAATAAAAACAGAAACCAGTATGAATATTAAAATATGAGCGATTTAATTAAAAGCCAAGTTAAATGAATACGTTTTCAGCTGTCGTTTCAAAATGTTCACAGAGCATCTCTTACAGCTCTTGGCAGAGTTTTCCATAGTTTTTGGAGCATAGTTAAAAAAAAAAGCTGCACTGCCTGTTTTAATTTAAAAGCCCAGAAGAAGATCTGAGAGCTCGTTAAGGATTATAAAGAATATGCAAAGTAGGCCCGGTCCCAAACCATGAAGAGCTTTAAAAAACAGTAAAAGGGCCTTAAAATCAATTCTATAAAACACTGCACTGCAAATTATCCCCACAACAGGTTATGTATTTGCTGTGATTAATCATAAGAAGAAAAAAACATTTTAAAATGTGTAATAATCACAGCAAACTGATCATTTATATAAAAGAATATAATTTAAGTTAAGTTAAAATTTGTTTTGATACATTTAAAGAAACTCAGTGTCAGACAAAATAATTTTGACTCTTTTCAAGTATAAAGGATCAAAGTGAAAGGCAGGGTTACAGGAAATTTACTTTCTTAAACAGGAATATCAGATAGATTTAATTTATCCACCGGGGCTCCAGTGTCTACTACACACAGTTTATGAGTCTGCACTGTCAATTGTCCTCTTGGTTTTACGGTGATTAAATACTAACTGTGTTAATTAAGCAGGTAAACATTTTGTTCAGGCTCAGTTTGTTGTGGTTGTGTACAATCATGGCACCGAGAAGAGATGAGGATTAAAGGTATTTTGGAAAGTTTTACCTCATTTACTACTTAAAACTTAAAGGTCTGTAATTTATATGCGAGTAAATGAGCTGACACATTTAAAATACTGGTATGATACTTAAAAAGGTGAATATATCATCAGTAGTAATGGAAAGCTCACCCTCAGTCCTCCTCTTTTGTCTCTGCGTAGATTGGCGGCTTCTCTCACTCTGTCTTTGTCCGCTTGTGTTCCTATTGGAGTTGGGACGTTTGTCTCCTTAGGTATCACTCCTCTTTTTCGCAGTTCAATCTTTGAAGAATCCTGCCCATGGGTGAATATGGTGGGCACCGCGTCCTCCCTCAGAAACTGTTTGCCGTTGTAATCCCTGAAGCAGTCGGTCCTGAAGTGCTCCGAGCAGAGGCAGGTGTTGGCAGTGGGGATGAAGTTTTTCATCCCCAGGCTGTGTACCCATTTGCTGGCAAGTTGAGGTTTGCTGAGTGGGAACCTGATCCACAGGAGAGGGAAGAGATTGTTTCAAGGACGCTTCATGATTTTAGTATTTATTTACTATTTATTTATTTATATTTGGACTGTTTCACCCAGATGCCGCCCAGGGAAAGTGGGTGGGAGTGGGGGGTAGTACTGGAGGGGTAAATGAAAACCCTTTGTCAGGCAGCAGATGAATGCCGCAATGTACATGGAGAAATAAGAGCAGCATGTTTGTAAGTTATGATAAAAGGATTCATGTCTAATATTGTAGATGTATGCAAGAATTTGTTTTGTTTTTTTTCAACCCCCAGTACTTGGAGCAAAATAATAATAAAAGTTTGATCACAAAAAAAAAATCCATTCTAATCCTCCTCCGTACATATGCAACTGTCTGAGGCGACAACCAGTACACAAAACTTAATGCATTAACATTTCATCAAGACATCATGTTTTCATAAGTCATCAGCTTCTATGATGGAATAATAAAACCTTGTCTCATGTCTTCAGTGTGACATGTTAAAGGGTTGAGTGGAAGTGCAAGTTTGTTATTGTTGAGTCACCTCCATTTCCCCATCAAAAGCTTTTCCAGTTATTTCTAGTGTCGTCACATTAATATTATGTATAGGTTTTTTTTGCATATATATTCTCTTACTTATGTTTTAATGTTTATTATTGCTTTCCATTATTTTTCTTTCCGTCTCTACTACACTGCTGTTGTGGTTTAATGGAATAATGTAAGGTAACTATAGCTACGAGAGGTTATGTTAACGTTAGCTAACTTGTACTAGGACACGTTTATTAATCGATAGGCGGACTTTGTCTTAACGTTAAAACCCGCATTGACCAAGGACAAATGTCGTCTATGAAAGTAATTTAAAAGCAAATTTATTAATGTCTTGTTTGTGTGCTATGTTTTTTTTAACTTGAACTTAAAGCTAACGTCCGGATTTCGGCGCATCAGCTCAACCGTTGAAAACTTACCGGTAAAATCTTATTTCCGACCCTTTTACAAATTTATTGTTGCACCCTATCGCCGCACAAATAACGGGCATGGTGTCCTTTTGTAGACGCTCTGTGATAAAACACAAAATAGAGCTGAAATTACGCAAGAAAATAAATCAAACACTGGCGGTTTGTGATTGTTCCCTTTCGGCTTCTTCCTCGGCGGAAGTAAAAACGTATGTCCGGTTCAACTTCCTGTTTTGCCTCGAAAGCGTCTGCCCTCTAGCGGCGGCTCAGATAATCACTCAGAATTTACAGGAGACTTAAGTACAATATGAGGCACTTTACTATTCATTCTGCTTTTCTATGGAAAATGCTTTTCACTACCTATAACAGACAAATATTCTGAATACAAAGCATTCGTTTAGTTTATTTAATTTATACATTGTTATATATTAAACTACATAGACTTGCACAACCGCTACCAACTACAGCATTATAATGCTGGTTATACGTAAATGGATCAATTATAATAATCCAGGTACATAATATATCATTTATAATAATACTAAAAAGGCGACAATTTGTCTACATAACTATGTTTATTTTCATTTTTGAGTACATTTTGATGATAATATTTTAACTTTTTTAATACATTAGTTTTACTTGTAATTTAATGGTTCCACGTTCAAATATTGGTACATTTACTTAATTCCTCCAATCACTGCTGGTATGGATATGACATCAATTTGTGTGGTGCATGTGCCTAATAATTTATTAGTACATGGGTCCAGTTAACATTATTCCAGCACTGGAGTACTTTTAGATTTTGGGTCACTGGACATATTAAGCTGATGTCTGCTGTGTGCACCTTTCGAAATGGAAACTTTGACACAGTTCACAGAGGGCAAGTTGGGGGTCAAACGGACTCCAGTAGCAAATTTTTGTCCCAAGCACTTTTACAGATTAATCTGACCATGGCAATATTCACACAGTGTCTTGTTTTGCCAGTTATTTGTAATAACCAAGGCTGGATTACCAGCTGGACAAAGCAACTGCCCAGGAGCCCCAAAAGCCGGATTGTTTTGCTCTACATACCTTGATTAATTGCACATTTATCAGAACTTAGTAATTAGTGTCAATATCTGGGGTTTAACACCTTAATTGTTTGTTTATATTGTGCTCATTTGTTGTGAAGTGTCAAATTTGCTTCCATTTACATCGTTTTTCTGTGTGTCATATAATTAACACACAGAAGACCTAAGACAAGGTATTATTGTTCCATCATGGAGGCACTGAATGTGTTATTTTTAATATCACATCTATTTTATTTAATTATCAATTGTCTGAATAAAATGCCAAAGTTAAGATAATCAACTTGATTTTTTGTGAGAAAAAAAAAACATAAAGGTGTAGCAACTTTTCACATTTCAGAATCTGGTACCAGTGAATTTTTTGCGTTTTTTGCTTAATGAATGACTTAATTTACCAATCAATTAATCAAAATAGTTGCCATTTACTTTTTCTCAATGGACTAATTAATTAATCAGCTAATCATTTCAGTTCGAGAACACTGGTCGTTGTCTGGGTGCCTGTGGGAATAATGAACTGACATGTACAGTAGAGGGGTCAATAAGGGCCACAACAACAAAAGGTTAATCTGGTCATAGTAACAGTAGGCTACATCATCATGATTTATTATTTATTCAATATTTTATCTCATTTTACACTAATGTTTTTAATGTTTTTCCTTTTAGGTCAATGCTTTTAATGTTTTATGTTCACTATATGTATTTTCTTTTCATTTGAATCACTTGGTGCATGTCATTTCTTTGTTGTAAATCACTTTGTGCTACATTTCTTGTATGAAAGGTCCTATACAAATAGAGTTTATTATTATTATTAATATTTTACTTTTGGAGCCTAAAGAATCAGAATCAGCTTTTATTGGCCCAGTATGTTTGTTTAAGTCACAAGAAATTTGACTGTAGACATGGACATGGACATGTAAACAAATAAACAGGTGGTGCAAGGCGTGCTGAAATAAATATTGGCATACGTGGAAATATAAGTGGGTAATGTAATAAGTGACTACAGTATGTGCATGTATACACGTTTAAATATAGTGTAACGCCTGCTTGCATTTATATTTGACAATTTCAAACTAATTAAATGTGATAAATGTGAACATCCCCACTCGACTGGTGGGGACTTAGTGGCACCCCGGCTGCCTGTAAGACTAACCACAGGGCAGTGATCCCTGCTGCCCCTGGTTCTCAGCTCGATGAAACCCGTTTCCTTCTGCAGCAGCCGCAGCCCGAGCTCGCAGCTACCCGGGGCCGCCGCTGGATCACATGACAGAAGTACGCTGGTTAGTCTGGCGAGCTAACATGCTAGCTTCGGTTGTCAAAGCTGTTGTCAGCAGCCACGAACGAACGGAGTAGCCTGCCCTGACTAACAAGTAGTTGAAAACGCGCGAAGTCTCTGGCAAGTGAACTAATTTTGTCTTTTCTAAACGTGCCTGTGGTTTATTAGCTAAGCTAGCTTAGCTGAACTTGTTAAAAGGGAGTTCCTTTCGAGTGCGGGGGTGTTAGGCTAACGTTAACGATATTGGCCTTGTTTGGATTGACCATGAAGCCAAATCTTGCCCAATCTTACGTAAACAACCCGATGTAAATTTTTCACCAGGATTGATTGGTAGACGGTAAACATTGTTAACACCTGCTAACGTTTATTAGCCGAACTTGTAGCTAGCTGCTTGTTTGTGTACGAGATAACTGGCAATACTGGTTAACTAACTAACTGACCAACTTGGCTAATGTTAGCATTGAGTCTGTGGTCAAAACATCCGCTGAAACTGACCATCTCAAGCAGTATCAGCCTCAACACGATCACATGTGTTTGAAGTGTGTTCTTTTAAGTGTTTACACAGCTAACACGGTTGTGAAATAACGTTAAATGTCTGTTGACATCTACCTAGCTAACCACTGAGGCTAATTTAGCTTGACAAAAGGCTGCAAGGCTTTGACACCTGGGTTACATCTGCTCCTTTATACCTGTTAAAGTCTGTGTGGTGGGTATAATCAATTTAACCATTAAAACCCCTTAAACATTCACCCACACAGGTGTATTCACTGATTAGTCGTCTGTGTGGATGTGAACTCGCATGACATCTGTTGCATCTGCTACCAGTGCAGGTTGACTTATATCTTTATAATCTTTTATTGGTTTGGTGACCTTACACGACTGTCAGCACTGCTTCTCTAGTCAGAAGAAGTGAAAACACTGGGTGGGTCTCCGGGGCCTTGAAGCCCTGAGTGTACTACTTCTTCTTCCATTAGTGTTTTGTGTGAGTGTGTGTGTGTGGGAACCTTCATCTTGAAACCTGTATCTCCTGAAAACACTGACTCTTTGCTTTCACACCAACTTGTTGCTGAGTATGGGAGTCCATTTTTTGCTTCACCGGACAGAGTTACATCCGTTGGTACGATGAGAAAAGGACATTTCCCACTCACTCATGCTGACTGTACTTGTCCATTGATGTTTGGGTGGGTATTTGTGGATTTCACAAACACCTATTGCAGCTATAGCAATTGTCACATTGCTGCAATTTTTTCAGGCTTTGTTAATGTCCTCCCCTTTACTGATTCATTCAGAAAATTGTGAAAAATGGCCATTATAATTTCCTAATAGCTAATCTTATAAATAAAACTTACTTATTTAGTCCAACTAGTTATTAAAACTTAAAGGTATTCAGTTAACAATCATAGAGGACTAAGAAAATCAGATAATATTCTCATTTGAGGAGCTGGAATCAATACGTTTTTTGCATTCCTCCCTTGAAAATGACATGAAAAATGTATTATTTAAATTGACAGAGAGTTGCACAATTTATTAGTCTAGCAATTGTTTCAGCACTAGTTACTTTATAATCTGAAATCAGTAGTTATATTTACACTTTTTTATTGTTTTTGTTTTTACACTTAGCATTAAAAAAAATACTTGATTTATAACATTGTCTTTTAGCTTAGATGGTAAAGTTTAACATTGACTACTGAGTTATAATCAACTGAAGAAGGTTATAATGACTAAACCAGGTTCATTATGAGTGTTGTGGCTTTTTATTAACTCACTGAGCAAGTAGATTATATACTGATGAGAACATGTCAGTGGTGATTGTGTGAGTTGTAACGGGTGGTTGAAAAAAGTGTTTAATATAATAAAACTTTTGGGATTTTTTGTGCTTAATTGATTTTTGCTGGAGCTTTCATTTCATTTCCAGCCATCTATGAAAACATGCACCTGGACAAAGGTGACTGACTGATAAGGGGACACAGGGGACATTGGACTGGAACAGAGAGATCAGGGTGCGGATGACATAATGTCACAGGAAGAGAAGAGATAGTTTTACAACCAAAGAATGTGAATTCACCCAATAAAACTTGACACCATTGATTAGCAGACGTACTGTCCGAGAGACAGATTTTAGAGCTGAAGAAGAATGATCAGAAATCAAACGACTGTAGACTCAGGATCTGCACCGCCGCCATGACGTTTGATATATTGATTTGTGGTTTCTCAATATGTGAATATTAAACCGGTTCTGAATCTTGATACCACGAGGTTAGAGGATTTTTCTTGTCATACGTTGTGTGACATTTCTGTGAAAAAGGCTTTAAGTGGTGACAGCCTTTCATCTCCGACGGAGGGCCACAATATATTTTGAAAGAACTTAAGGAGAGATGGGGTCATCCCTATTGTGTCTGTGTGGTAAAATCGGCTGCTTCAAAACTCCGAGGAAAAGGCTGGAGCACTACAGCCCTGTGGGGAGCCATGCAGATGACCAATAGTAACCTCTTATGTTCTCTCTCTCACCCCTCCCCTCCCTTCTGTTTTCCCTCCTGTCTCCCATAGGGCATTGTAGGAAGGGACTCGTCTTCTTTTCTACTCACTCTCTTCAAGATATCAAGTCATTAAACTTCAGCCCGATAAGTCACAGTGGTTTTGGCATCCCCAAGACTCACCAGGCAAGCAAGTCCTCCATCACCGCAGGGATATCGACAGACTTGAGGTTGTGGACTCACATGGGCAAGATGGATGGGCGATAAGTAAGACATCAACTTCAGAGGTAAGGTCAGTCCAATGCTGTGTCCGTCACAGAGTCACTGGGGAGGATTCATTTCAGCTAAATGGGGCTTTGTCCTTTTTGTTTTTCTCAGGCATTGACTGATGATACCTAGAAAGGAAATGCTGTGTAGCTGTCAGTGGAAACATTTAAATTGTTTTAGTGGACACACAGGATATTGTTGTTGGAAATCTCCCTCAGAGATTCACTCTTTTCGTCAGCAAAAGTGCAACATTACTGCTAAATGCTGACATGGATATTTTAAAGGCAAACACAGTGTTACTCATAGTCAGTCTTTGCCTCATTTTAGTGTAATATTAGCCAGCATTAAAGTGAACACAGTCTTGTCTAATAAGGCAAAAGCCACCAAGGCGTCTCTATGCCAAGTAGAGTATTGCCTTCATCAGTCCTTCTTCCTGTGTGGAAGCTTTTATCTCAGACAACAACGAGAACCACTTCACTGGTTTACTATGGTATTTAGTGGCTTATCAGTGTGGCTTTGAAAATTACTCTCGTCACTGCTGGTGTAGCTGTTACAGTTGTCGTTGGGTTTTCCCTTTTAATTTCTTGTGAACATAATCTGTCATGGCATTTAAAACAGGCATGTGTAATCCCACTTGTTCTGTCATTCATCGGAAACATGAACAACTGTAAGATGCACAGAAATCCAGTCTAGAAACCGTGTGGTTAAACACTACCTCTGTGATTTTTGTTGTGTAATCTCAGTCGTAACTTTTTCGCAGGACCTGATTTTTAAAAAAAAAAATTTTAAATTGCTACCAGATTTAAAGAAATAGATAATTATGTCTCATGTTTTAGAGATGAAAAAGTGATATCATGAATGATTATATAAAGCAAAAGTTAGTTTTTTGTTCTCTGTCAAACGCACACGTAAACATAAAATGAACAGCGCTACAAGCAAGTGGCTCAACTTCAGTCTAGACTCTTTCTGACATATTCATGTAAATTAAGTGTAAAAATAAAATAAATTCAGGAATTCTCTGCAACAAACGACTCATGAGGAATATTTTTCTTAGGCTTCTATAATGATAAAATTATAATCGGGCAATGTGACGTTATACACCTGAGATGACAATAGTTGGTCGGTTGTTAGAGATTTCTTAGAAGCATTAATTACTTCAGCATTTATTCCTTTAATATCTCAATGTTACAAATGAATGAACAGGGTTGCTTCAGTATTACATTGAATGGATTTCTGTCTTGCAGGGAGGGTAAGAATAGCCAAAAATCACACATGGGTGTCTGCTGAATCAGTTTCCTGGAATGCATCCTTATGTGCCACATGACAAACTTTCATTTCTGCTTTTACAGCCACTTGCTTTTCCTGTACACACATTTTAATAGGCAGGGTTTGAGTTTATTCCAAGGATTTTCATATTTTAGATCTTTCTAAGAACTGCAGTGTAAGAGAATAATGATAATTGCTCTGCCTTTGATGTCGTCCCTGTTTTGAATATACATCAAAACAATCTACCCACAGTGTCGGCTTTCCTTCATCTTGCTGCTTTAATATGTGCGTCTGTGTTCGGGGGATCACTACTCAGACGTTCTTGGTATTAAAGTTAAACGCAGAGATTATTTTTTCTACCATAATCAAATCTGATCTGGAATCTGTTTTTTGTATTTCGCAGGTACACGTTGATTTCGTAATGACAAGCTGCTGTGCAGAAGATGTCCACGCTGTCTGTGACTGATATCCCAGATGTTGGTCATGGTAAGAGGAACAACAGCTTTCACAAGTGTTTGTCCTCAGGGTCCAGTTCTCTCAGCACAGCTCACTGTTGTACGACATGTCAAATGCTTTGATATCTGCAGCCTCCTTTTTATTCCGTGAGCTTTATGTTGCATGTGTAGAAAGGTAAACGGTGTGTTGAACAATGATACGAGGCGGCTGAATGTGTTTGCGTCTCCTCTGTCAGATGAGAGTAAGGTGTTTGATGGGGCCTCTGAGCTGCAGCTGGACTGCATGGTTGAGGAGAGCAGTGGAAGCGCCACAGTGAAGCACGGCGGCCTCCTGTCGCTCGCTGACCTCTCCCAGCCGGACGACTTCCACGCCCCCCCCCACAATGGCCCTTCACTGACCGAGATGAGCAGCCCTCTGCCGGTAGAGCCGAACGACATCAAGCTGGATCCAGCTGCAGGTGACACATCTGCCAGCATAGGTGAGAGCACTTACTTTAAATAGCTTCAATTCACAGAACTGATATTAAATTTGAATCCTTGTTGTATTGAAGCCTTTGAATTGTTAATATTCCTTTTAATAAGCTGAATTAAAAAAGGCAAATATATAAACCAAACTAAAATATATCATTTTTAGAATCTGTGTCTCGTTATGAATCTGAACCGTTCAGAAAAACAACAACATTAGATAGACCTGATAGACCGGTCTGAAGCTCGAGTCTCTTACGGTGGTGTGTGTTTCTTCAATGTGTCTGTGTGCTTGGACTGGTGGGACAACTTCCACAGACTAGACTAACCAGTATTTCTTTCTCTTCCTAATCTCAGACGTGTTTTGCCCTATTTTTTATTTTTTTTAATTCCACGATCTTGGACGAGCTCATTTTAGCTTAAACCTTCATCGTATCTGCACAATGACGTTTTCTACATCTACTCTAATATTTCAATAAATGTGCTACACATGTACAACCTAATGCAGTGCTGCTTTATTATCCTATGTACACAAACAATGATGAACACAAAAAATAGAGTTGAATCAACATATCAGACACATTTTCAGTTTATTCCTGAACTGTAATTTTTCAAACTACTTCATATTGCTCATCACCTCTTCTTCTTTTTCGACATGTGTAGATGGTCAGCCGGTGAAGAGAAAGAAGGGGCCCGCCCCGAAGATGCTGGGCAACGAGGTGTGCAGTGTATGTGGCGACAAGGCCTCTGGTTTCCACTACAACGTGTTGAGCTGTGAGGGCTGCAAGGGCTTCTTCCGCCGCAGCGTCATTAAAAGTGCCCAGTACTCCTGCAAGAACAACGGCCGCTGCGAGATGGACATGTACATGCGGCGAAAGTGCCAGCAGTGCCGCCTGCGCAAGTGTCGGGAGGCGGGCATGCTGGAGCAGTGTGAGTGTGGCGTGAATCGGGAGATGTAGAACGTTTTGATTCCGCTGTAGGTTTGTGTTAACTACAGGGAGTGAGCTTTCACATCTGCTCTGACCCATAGGCGTTCTCTCTGAGGAACAAATCAGACTAAAGAAGATGAAGAAGCAGCAGGAGGAGGAAACGGCCCGCACGTCCACAGTGGTCACCCCCACGCCTCCGCAGGAAGTGGCCACGCTGGACCCACAGCAGCAGGAGATGATTGAGAAGCTGGTGGCCATGCAGAAACAATGCAACAAGAGATCGTTCCTCGACCGACCAAAAGTGACGGTAAGTGAACGTCTCAGGGGAAAGATCTGCGGTTTGTTTTCGACCAGTTAATTGTTCCTCATGTGATATTAACCATTGGTTTTAGTTGTTTACTCCATAGCCTCAGTAAACTTACTCCAACATACAGCCTTAGAAATCAGAGATGAATACCTTCAAATACAAATTATAAAAGAAATAATAAAATGCTTGTGTGGCTGTTATTCTGCCACGACATCAGCAGCTCTGAGAGAAAATACAGCTGCTTGATTTGAATCCAGGTTTGACCTTCTTCCTGCTGTGCCCGCTGCTTTGCTGTTTTGAAAACGTATCAGTGAAATGTTGAATGTAAATGTGACAGTGCGTTAACATTGTTTGTGTGTGTGTGTGTGCGTCCGACAGCCGTGGCCACAGAGTCAGGACTTGCAGAACCGAGAGGTGCGTCAGCAGCGGTTCGCCCACTTCACTGAGCTAGCGATCATGTCGGTGCAGGAGATTGTGGATTTTGCGAAGCAGCTTCCTGGTTTCCTGGAGCTCACGAGGGAAGATCAGATCGCTCTACTGAAGACGTCGACCATCGAGGTCTGTCGCCGTTCACCGTGAAATATCATTTCTGTCGCGCTGATTTTGAAACAATCACTGATGTAAAAGAAAAAGGAACTCATTTCAAAATACTGTTCATAGCTCTTTGCAGTTTTATCATACAACATCTAAAATAAGTTATTTATAAATGTAATAATCAATAGCCCTGATAGACATTCTACTTCTCAGCGATGTGGTTGTGTGAAGTTGCCACCAGCATCATATTTCTGTTGTGTGTTCCTCAGATCATGCTGCTGGAGACGTCCCGGCGCTACAACCCTGCTATTGATAGCATCACATTTCTGAAGGATTTCAGCTACAATAAGGAGGATTTCGCCAAAGCAGGTGCGTTTTCTCATCTGAAGTCTTTAAAGGAAATATGAATATTAAGTATTGCTTAAGCTGATTGCCTGTATTCAATCTGTTTTATATTCTATAAAAAAAATAAGAAAATGTATGAGCAGCTTTCACCAGTTTTTGCTTGTTTTAACTTTGAAGAGTTTGTTGAAACTAGTCATGGCAAGAAAGGACGAGTTTGATTCATTATATAATTTATTTATCAAGAGAAATATTTGTTGCTCTTACTTCAGTTTGCGATAATTACAGTCCCTCTGCTAACAGTGTATTATTGCACCACGTTTCCTTCTTTAACGTGCCTTTGTTTCCCCCTCCCTCTCTCTGCTCTCACCACCTCAGGGCTTCAGTTTGAGTTCATTAACCCCATCTTTGAGTTTTCAAAAGGAATGAATGACCTGCATCTGGACGAGGCCGAATATGCTCTGCTCATTGCCATCAACATCTTCTCCGCAGGTCAGATTTCACAAACTACAAAACCTGCAGGGACTCCTCAGTATCTAAAACATTATTCACATTTTACCCCAGAAAAATCAGACAATGTGAAATAAAAAGAGATTAACAGGTGACTTGTTTGTTTTGTTTGGTAAACTTTGTTTAGATCGGCCGAATGTGCAGGATCACGATCTGGTGGAGAGGCTGCAGCAGCCCTATGTGGACGCACTGCGCTCTTACATCATGATAAAGAGACCAAATGTAAGTGCCCGGTGTTTACGTAACCTCTCCTCTCCTGACCAGCAGTATGTCAGCATAACCTGGTTGCCGTCATCACAACAAGCACATTGGGTCAGGGCTACATGTTGTTGTTCAGACTGGTGGGGCGTCTCAAACAGTGACCAGAGCTGTTGTGTGTCAGAGGAGAAAGCAGAACATGGGAAACTGCTCTGACTTTTTTTTTTACCTTTTTTACCAGTTTTTTATTTTTCTTTTGTTGCACTGGTTTCCTCAGGATCACCTGATGTTCCCCCGGATGCTGATGAAGCTGGTGAGCCTTCGTACACTAAGCAGCGTCCACTCGGAGCAGGTCTTCGCCCTCCGCCTCCAGGACAAGAAGCTCCCGCCGCTGCTCTCTGAAATCTGGGACGTCAACGAGTGACTGCGAACCTGATGTCTCGCCCCCTGTGGCTTTGTAAAGTCGGAGACGGACACGGCGTCCAGCAGGAACACTGACTCCTCTCTGCCCGTCTGGTCGGGGATCGGTTAAAGCGTTGAGATTTTATTTTCTTGTGGGAGGAGAGTGTCGTTGCCCTTTGCTCTCAGACAGACTGCTAAATGGTTTTCGTGTTCATACGGAGAAACGTGAACACCTAGTTTTCTTTGAGCCTTTTGTTCTTCCTTTTTTGTGTAGATGCTGACATGATTGTGGCGATATTAAATACCAGCATCAGGCTCTTTAGCCAGTTATCTCTGATTTAATATTTGTTGAAAGTTCTGTCAATCTCTAGTGCGGTTCTTTTCTCTTTCTCTAACAATTATCAGAAGGTTCTGAGCAGGTCTGAGCTGTGGTCGTCTCACAGCTGAACATTCAGTTGAAATAGTGATTTTTTTTAATTTTATTTTTGCCGTCGTGCAATAGGTGGAAATGGATACAGAGTTGTGCATGAGCAGATCCACGTCTGCTACTCACTTTATTGACGTTAGGGTGAAATGATAGGCCATCGGGATGGTATTGTGAATTGTTAAATGGCAAGAAATAATTTGTGTTCCTTTTGAAAGTAAATCGAAATCGAAAGGTTGGTGTAGTCGCTCAGGTAAAGTAATGTGAAGTAGACCTCTGGGAAATTGGAGGCTTCTATAATTTCTATTAAGTTAGTTTTCTTCCAAGTGCATAAGGGACCCTTTTGGTCATTTATAGATGCCCATAAACTTTCATGTAAATTGTATATTTATTTTCACTGGAAAAAATGTAGAGAGCATCCACGGGATTGTACAATCACATACTAACGCACAAGAAAGTAAAACTCTGCGGGTGACTGGCAGACTGCCCTCATTTACAGGAAATGTGGTGATGTGACTAAATTCTTTTTTTCTCTTCTTTTCTACACAGAGCACTGGTACCTTGAAATAGGTGGTCCGTAAAGTCTCTTTAAACTCTATGTAAAGATGAACTGTCGGTTAAAAAAGGAAGTCAATCAATCGACCATCTGTGTGACCCTCTTTTCAGATGAATGAAAACCCATACTCACAAAGTTGTGATCATAAATCAAAACAGAAACGGATACAAAACGGTTATTTTCATATTTTGATTTGTGATTTTTATCATTGGCTTTTTTTTTTAAAGGTGTGAGAAATGTGTAAGCAACATATAGTTTGAACAGAATACAGAGAATTTCGGCCTTTTATTTTTGATAAAACTGAACATACAGTGGAAAAACATCTTGATCTAAACATCTGCCATAGTCTGAGTATCGTCCTTGACTCGGCACAAACAGCTTTAACTGGTCAGATGTTGGAAAGCCTAAATGAACAGGGAGCAGAGAGCAACAGGAAATGAGTAAAAACATTTAACATTTTAAACGTTATAGCTACAGAGATCTAGATGTTTATATCCGTGCTGTGTTTTTCATACATTCTCCTCAACTTGAAATGCTGCATAATGGTTGATAAAGGAATGTCAATATAAATTCACAATCGTGAAGTTTGTTTTCTCGCTTCGTGCTCGCGTCGGCGTTGAAAAGGGCTGAGAGCAAAACAAGGTCGTCGCAGCCCGTTTTTCAAATGGCAGAAAATTCCTCAGCTGTCTGTTTAGCCATTTCCAGATGTCACCATTAGACTTGAATGCTCTGTCCCAACTCTTCACCTGCCAGTTAAAATCACATTATTGTTAAGTTTTTTTTTTGTTTGTTGTTTTTTTTTTTTTACCATTTTCAGCTAAAGCTTCTTGTGGTTTTTGATTAATGAAATTGCATTTAACAGCTACAGGTGTTACAGCTAAAACGGGACATTGATTCTTCACATGAGCACAGAAATACAAATACACAGGACTCTCAGCAACACCGGCACACAGGTGTCCTCACAGGTACAACTGGCCGAATATTGATTTGATCTGAATTAGATAATCTTGTCCAAAAGCACTTAGTGATGTATCGAATGTGTTTTAATAACTGATCATTTGAATTTCAATCTTTTGTTTTGTTTGTTTTTTTTTTGTTTTTACTTCATCCACCAGCACATATCTGTTTCATAATGTTTATTTCCCAGATCGTCAGGTAATGTTTATTTTATTTTAGATAGGTCTTTTTCTCTGAAGACATTTTGACTTGTTGCAGCAGCTTTTCCTTCTGTGACATGTTCAAGTTTCTTATGTGGGAAAAAAACATTCTCAACAGGGAATGCTACACAAATACAAATACACATGACTCGTAGTAACTATTTGCCATTCAATCCATCTGTGAGATCTAAGTTTGACCATAATCATCATCATCATCATCATCATCAGCGTGGTGACTCTGATTTTAAAGATGTGCCTCGATCACCGTAACATAAAAGACTGGAAACGACTGCAAACATTTTTTATTGTATCAATAACGCTGGTGTTTTCTTCGACCTGCAGAATCATCACAGAAACAATAGTGAGAGTAAGTTTTTCTTCCTCTCCTCCTACAGTTGGAAAAGACAGAGTTTAGCCACAGTTTAGTCAGTTTACACCCCAATTATACAAAACGACAACAGGAAGAGTTTCATTTCTATCTTTAGCTGTACTGTGTTGCACTGCTAATTTGAACGTTGCCTGAATTAAATCTCAAACTTGATTATCATTAAATGTAATGAAACTTTCCTGAGACGCATGTTTTTCATTCAAAGACAGAAGCCAAATGTGTCCTGGCATTTTCTGACCACGTATTGTATCGAGCCCTTTTGCCTTCCCTCTCAGATTTTTGATTTACTCTTTATTGATACTATAAAAATGGGAATATGTTTTTTTTTGTTTGTTTTTTTTTGTTATTGACTTGCTTACACCACTCTAACCCTTTGGTTTTCTTTTTTGACAGATGGATCAACATTTTAAAAAAGCAGATAAATAGCGTGCGGCGTTGTGAAACCGTATCTGTGATTTGTTCCAGTTGGCTTTGTGTCTGTTTCAATGACGCGAGGTTTGTTTTTGGTTTCTGATTTTGCTGTTTGCGACGGGTTAATCTCCAACCAAACACTTTAAAACATCACATTTAAAAATAACCTCTGTAATATGGGGGCGAATTTTCCACCGTGCCCCAATGAACCCCGCGTCAACTGACAGATTTGACGAAACTGAATTGTTCTTCTTACTCTGATCAAATTAGCAAAAAGCATCAGTTGTTGGCTCTCAGATCTTTGTTTCGTAGTGTACATGTTATGTTAATGCTGTACGTATCACAGTTAATTATCCTGTATATACTGTAATTGATGCCTCTGATCTCATTTAATTTCTGTCCTCAAAGGGTGACACTGTAAACATTGATATATAGAAATGCAAACCTATTTTAATACTTGTAACTCCGGGAGACCTTCTGTTTTGTATGTACAGTATAAATTAAAGCTATGCTGTAGTGCTAATATGTTTGGAATTGATGACTTGTTTCCTGATTGATTTTCATGTTTTGAAGTTCAGACAAGAACTCAGATTTAGTTTGTATTTACACGGGACAGTTCCCATCTCTGGAGGATGAAACGTTTCTATTATTGACTCATTTCAGTGACTCCTGATTACAAAAGATGGAACCGCAGAGGGTTTTGAACAAGATCTGTAATTTAATCAGTTTGGCTAGTTAGAGTTTCAATATTGTCAATAATAAATAGATAAATAAAAAGATACATAATGCGGATGCCTAAAATTGATTTTCCGAGAGGATGCATTTAAGTTTCCCCTTGAATATATCCTCCAAAACATATGGGGCACTGCACTACCATATATAAAACATACAGCATTGAAGCAGGATGTAACTGTAATAATATTGATCGATAAAATACAAACACATCACGATCATGTTCAAAGTATATGTGTGTATATATATATATATTTATATAGGTCACTCCAGTGTCTATATGCTAAAACATAGTTATATGACAAGAATTTTATAAAGAATACATTGATTATTGTCAGGTTCATTTGTTTTCTTCTATCACAAAATGTTAATCCAGTCCGTGTTTTAGGATTTTATGGTGCTATAGAAAATGTGAGATTATTAGAAATTTCAAAGACCCTAAACTAAAAGGAAGTATGTATAGTTTGCTTGCCTTTCCTGTAATTTTAATTGTCGCTGTAAAAATCAATCTTGAATCAAACTTTAGAATTAAACGGTCACTGGTGCATCATGGGGATGTAACCATTGTCCAAATCAATGTTTTCTGTTTTCTTGAGGTTTATTCATCCATTGCAAGCATACACAAGAACAAAGGGAATCATATTTCTGATTACCTTTCTTGCCGTGGTAAATGAAATAAAATAACCCTCCCAGGTGCAATGCTGACCCTGTACCTGCCCACTTGATGTAAAACCTGTTAGAAAAATGTTACAACCCAAATAAACTAAATAAACAACTAGAAAAACCTAGGCAACTCCAGATACAAACCAACATAGGAAACTAAATAAATATAGTCTATTTAGTAAAATTAACAGCCTAAAATTGTAGGTAATAATCGCACAGTTTGAGGTGGGTGGGGTGCAGAGGTGGATATATATTATATATGACATACATGTATATGTCCCTATATCAAGAGTGATGTTGCCATATATGTCACCTATAAGGACAGATATTATTATCACATATATAAATCCTCTGGATACATGCAGATACAGTATAAGATATATTATATATAATATTTTCTATATGTACATATATTAAAAATATCTATGCTGAAATTTTTACATGGAACACATACTGTATGTTTGCAACATGTTGCAAGCATCTGTTCTATGTAAAGAAAATGTGTTAAAATTATATATTTAATCTATTTATGGAAGTTCATCAAATACCTAACTGAAGTAAAAAAAAATAGAATGACCCTACTGTTTATAATATCAACATATACGGACAGGCTTTGGGATGGCTATATATTTATGTAACTTCTGTCTTCAATAAAAGTCTACATATATAAATGTATATATTTGTATAGGCTAAGTATATATATATATATATATATATATATGAAATTGTTCCAGTTCTAATAAGTTTAATATTTTTTTTACATATATGTACATATAAAATAAGAATGTATATTTCATATATGGAAATACAATATTATATTTGCGTATAGGTTCAGAAATGTAGTAAAGTCAAAAGTACAATATTTGTCTTTTAAATGTCATGGACTAAAAGTAGTGTGTTATTATATTTATATATTTATATATTTACTCAAGTAAAATACAGTACTATACTATATTACTATACTCGAAAAATATACTTAGGTACAGTACTGGTGGGGGTTGGGGGGGTTATAAGATCATTCCTATAGGGCCCCAAAAAGGCTGCGACCGGCCCTGTTAGGCGATAAAACACCGTGAAATACTGCAAACTGATCAGAGTGATTGTTAAGTGGACCCCCGTCACCCCGGGCTCTCTGATGTTGGTCCCTGCGGGGAGCGTTAAGTTGTTTTCCGTCAGGCTTGTTTGTCGCTTCCGTTTGGTCGGGCAGTGAGTATGCGGAACTCCCTGCAGACCGATGATGATGAAGGGGATGTTGTGAAGGCAGGTTGTAACTGACCGAGCCTCCCGTTCACCAGGCGTAGAGGCGGATACACACACACACACACATACACACCTCGCATCGTTTGTAACGCTGCCAGCCAGTTAGACGGCGCCGCTAGCCTCTCAGCAGTCCTCCCTGTCCGACTTTTTTCCAATGATAAACCATCTAAACGACACAAGGCTGAATTCAGACACACACCGCTGCCTCTCTCCCTCCGTGACCGAGGAGGGCACCCACCACCCAGGCCGTCATCATCACCATCAGCAGCAGCAGCAGCTGGCTTCACGGCGAGCGTTAGCGGCTAACCGGCTAATACGAGCAGGTAAGGGTGTTCTGAATCAACGTCCGAGCTATTTTAAAAAACCAACCACGCACAACGTTTGTGGCGCGTGCTGCGAGCCGTTTGTCACCGATGTCGCCGCCGTTTTGTTAACATCTGACAGTTCGCCGTTTATGAGCTCAAATCGCTCAAGCTACTGTTAGCTAGCTAGGCGGCTAGCTAGCTAATCCATCCGTGGCGTAAGAAACCACGAAGCTAGCTGAGTGGAGGTGCGAGGGTGCATCATTGGGCTGAACATGGAGGACGAGCCGAGGCCTGGCAGCTTGTCTTAAATATACATATATATATATATATATATAAAAGGATAACACAGTCACAAGCTACACGTCCAGCTCTCTATGGGATGTCAGGAGACGTTAACATCGCCTTATCTCATTTATTGCATTGTTACTGCGAATGTTATCCTCGCCTCACCGTATGTCGTTACGCTAATCTCCACAGTTAACCGAGCTGGTTAGGTAGTAAAATTCCCACTACACCTCGTAACTAAGCTCGGTTCATATGGGATTTTTTTTACTGTGTAACTGACACCCCTACTGTTGAAATCGTGTGTCATTGTGGCCTCATTACTCGTCACGCCTGAAGCATCGTTTTGAGGTAGTGTTGTTGTACTCAATGTCAAACCAGCAGGAGTGGAAGTACATTTTCTCAAATACTGTGTTTAAGTTCAATTTTGAAGTATTTATACTTGAGTATTTTTGTTCTATGATACTTTAAGGTAAGGTGACCAGATATCTGAAATGAAAACAGGGACATTAACAGTTTAGCTGTGAATATATGATTAAATATCATATTAATATATGATTAAATTATTCAATGGACACCTATGAAATAATTTTTAAAAAAGGGGTCATGTATTTTGACCATGGTAACTGTTGTGATGTAATAAACTGTCCTGAAGACCTGGCTGATAAAATGATGACTCCCTACCTTTGAAGCAGTCATGAAGTTTGTGTGAAGAATGTTTGTTTTTGTTAGTGCACTGCCTGGTTATGAACTCCTAACCAATGAGTGAGCCAGGCAACCTTTTCTCTGCCTAGAGACAACAACAAAAAAATCTGATTGGATAACTCTATTTTGATCCTATAGCTAGCAGCCACCCCCCTCTGTTGGCCAAAACAAGCTCATTGCTAGACGTCTGTTTTTAATTACAAATGTTAATAATGGGGACATTTCCGAGGACAGCTCCAGTGGGGACAGGCCACCAAAAACACGTACTGTTCCCAGAAAATGGGGACATCTGGTCACCCTACTTAACAGTTAATGTATGTCACATTAAAATATGTACTTTTGACTCCACTACATTTATCTGGCAAATCTTACTTTGCTGATCAAGACTTAAGATATAATAATCTTACAAAATACAATGCATTGTTAAAGATTACACCAGTCCATCCCAACCGTTTTGGCTTGTGAGCCCTTCAGGTGTCTGTAAGTTGTTGGCACTTAAATAAGAGTGATTTCCCTTATAAACTTGGTTTTGTTTCAGTAACCGTGTAAATACACAAATTGGCAAAACTATAGAAATATTTCACTACAAAAAAGAAAAGCTGAGTACATATTTGTTTACCAGAACTTTCTTCTGTGCTTTCCTGTGAATCATCTCACGAATCAGATTTGACAGAAAGTGGGTTTATTTGGAGGAGCCCTCATTGATCCTGAAGTAAAATTTGACTTGGATGTCAAAGCCTCAGCACAAAATATGTAAAAATAACTCAAACAATGACAAATGCTCACATAGGACTAATACATCATCCACTGCTGTGTCATAACAGTGTGTGAGGATTTCTTCTGTGATTTCTAAAAATGCAGATGGATGTGGGGGATATTTTAAAACAAAGCTACTGATATATGATTTATTTTTAAAATAAAAAAAGAAACAAGGTTTGCATGTCATCATCGTTAGGTGACGCACGCTGAGCTGCCTCCCTGTTACTCAAGGAAAAGTAAAAGCTTGCCATCCTCAATTCAACGTGACATCTTGCATGATGGCTCATGACCCAAATGCAACCTGTCACCACGCTGCTGCACCCAGCCACCGCCCGTGAAAAGCGAACCTATATAATGCAAATTTGAACTTGTGAATTTATTTTCGTATAGACAAACAGAGAACATAACACTAGGTATTTTGGTTATGAGAATTTTGCAACCAAAAATGGGGGGGCACAGACTAGACAAGGTCTCAGAAATGAATAAATAAAGAGAGGAGAGGATGGTACTTTGTCTGTGTCGGCCTGATGAGGTCCCAGCTCTCATTTTGTGCTAGAGGAAAGAGTGTAATCTAAAAGTGAGAATGCAGTGATCAATACTTTCTTTATCCACCCTTCATCCCCTCCACCCCTCTCGTTTCATCATCGTCCTCACTCAGCTAAGACTAATTCAAATGAGCCTCCTCCATCGCTAGTTACTGCTGTTCACTGGGACTGGCAAGAAATGCTGTCCATGTTGGAGGCCTGTGAATCATATCTATCTCCTCTCTGCGCTTACATAACCAGTGAGTGCCGCCTGCAGACCACTCTGACCAGATTCATCTGTTGTAACCTACATCATTATCTTGCCTTTGAAGATTATACGCTGTTGTGATGGTTCTTTTTATCTAACGTTTCTTTTATTATTATTATTTAGAGGGAGAGAAACGAGGTTCAATACCATGCTCACTCATTAAATACAGTAATCAGTGAAGTGGTGTAGTTCTTCCATCCTCATCTAAAAATAATGCTGTGGTCCGTCCTCTATCTTAGTGCTGGATGAGTCTGCCTTCAGCTCTGCTTCTACTTCTGCTGCTTCATGAAATAGCCGTTTTGGCTTTGGACCAGGAAGCAGTCATGTTGCCAGTCCTGAATGTTGAATCATCGTGCTGATGGTTTACTAAGATAAAGACGGTTAGATCTGTTCTCTGTATGGGCCCCAGCCCTCAGTGTATTATATTATATTATATCATTTTATATTATATTATTTTCTCTGTTCCTCCCTGTAATAAGCCGTTGCTGTGAGGAAGTTTGAACTCAGAGTTGTCTTATTTGTGTTAAATTGTGTGAGCAACAAGCTTTTAAAAATGGAGGTTTTCCCACACGTCGGGACAGATATACTCATTAATGTGAAGTGACAGTTTAGTTGGGTCTTCTCGTTCATCGACGTGCAGGAGGCAGCAGGAGGCTGTCAGGCTTACAGTGCATTTGAATAATTTTACCAAGTGTGATGAGGGCTGACATTAAGCTTAAGACACGTCTCAGCCCACTGTGTAGTGCGGGGTCTACTCATTCCTCCTTACGTTAACCCTGTCAAACACGGCCCAGCCTCTTTCCTTCCCAAACACGAAGAACATGATGAATATTCTGCATTACACTGACTTAACTAATGTGTCAATGAATGTTCTTTATTTTAGATATATTAGATAATTAAGTACATTTCTGACCATTTACCGTCATGCTCCATCAAGATTAGTCCAGTTGAAATTTGTCTTATGTCCATTTGCAAATGGCTTCTCTACTCAAAAGTAGAGCTAATAGATATAATTAGACCCATAATGCATCTGAAGCCCTCTGTGATAAAGTCACCCCTGATGTCCTAATGTCCACTGGACACAGCTGCGTCTCATGCTGGCTGTTCCGTGGCCGTGGCGGCGGGGGTTCATGACGGCCTGTGTGTGTGACTAGTGTCCCGCTCGTGACTTAAATGCAGCTTATTTGTCGTGTGCTGTTGTTGTCTTTGTGTTTGTGAGCTCACATGTCTGATGCGTGGGAGGGGTGGGGTCATGGGTCATGCAAAGTGTAAACGTGAATGCCAGTGTTAATAGCTGTTTATTACACTGGTTTTTATGCCAAGATCATTATGAACCTTTTAAATCTTTGTTTTTAATGAGCTGTGGCTTTTTTATTGAATAAATTAACAAATAACTAAATAAAATTTAGCTTAAAGCCAAAGCATTAAGTATTGAAAGAGTTGATCTTGTTTTTCTTCACTTGTTTGCAGGTGATAGAGATGTGGTCGTTTTTAAATGTGTGACACATTTTCCAGTTTAAAAGCCTGGTCCTTTTCCCCTCAGGTTCCCCTCAGGTTTTCCAGTAGGAATGCTTGAGTAGCACGAACTGCTGGCTAAATTATAGATCCATTAGCTTATCAGTGCAGGGATAACAGCCCTGAAGAGACGGTGTAAAACTGCCCCGGGCTCAGAGTGTTTGTGTTTCAGGGTGGAGTTTGCACAGACTCATGTGGCATTTGTTGGCGTTGGAGTAAAGGCTGTTTGCCGTGGCATGACACGCTGGTAAAAGTAGATCCTGTCACTGTAGACTTTCTTGCCCTGAGTCATTGTGACTGATATTATAATGTGTTTGTATGATCTAAATATAGTGTATGAAGTACAATATAATAGTGTCTTTAGTCTAAAGAATCAGGAGATAGCGGTCAGTGTTTTGGTGTTCATCCCCTCAGACTCAAAGTGTGAGTCGCCGTTTTGTAACGATGTTTAACAATCGATCTGTCGTGGACGTTTACAGAGACACTGAATTCTCCTCAGACCAGGGTCCTGATAAACCAGACTTCGCCTCAGCCACGAGATCTTCTCTGAGATGATTGTTATTCTCTGTCTCTGCCAGTCGTATCACTGTAGATGTAATTTAGTGTTATCCTCACCTTCACCTCCTTGTGTGGGGGAGGGGCAAGTAACGTATGAGATGACATTTCTGCAGGAAAAACGAAAATAACAAGAGTCTCTGCAAATAGTTTTAGGCTGAAGTATGAAGTTCAACTTAGCATAATCCGTTCCCTCTCCTGGTTTGTTTGTTTGTTTGTTTGTGTTTAGATGGAGCGGCTCATGCAGCCTCGTCACCTTTACAGGAGTGACATCCAGATCACTATCTCTGTGAGATGATTAAACACCGGTGTTGTTGGTTTAGCTTTGTTTGACTTGAGCACAGTCTGCTCGCTTGCAGTGTCCTGTCTCTGAAACGGCTGAATGCTTCCTTATTATACTCGGTTGTTATGTCAGGAAATTGCTGTTGCACTCGCTCACAGCAGATGTACTTTTACTTTATGTCGCCACAGAAGAAATCTTCACCTGCTCTTTCAACTCGCTAATTTGACGATTACAGCATCTTGACTGTGAGAAGACGCTAGACCGGAGCTGTAAGTGGCTCCACGCTGCTGAGCAGCCATCTGCAGAGCTGCTGTAGTTTCCTGTCAGTCACAGGCCATAGTGCAAGCAAAGAAGGGTGCTTGTCCCACCAAGGCCCCCTAAGCTGCTTACTATATTAGCTAGCCTCTACTGAAAAAGCTTTATCCTCCCAACGAAAACAAGCAGCCGACCTGATGCTCATAGCAGAACGTTAAAGCAGTCGCAGCACTGTCAGAGAGTTTTGAGCATTTTTGAGTCCACTTTGTTTAGACGTGTGCTTTTACAGCCTTTTTAATATTTGGGCTAAAATGTATTTAACATTGTTGTACAGTGGAGACGCTGATGTAAGTCACGGCCGACGTCTTTCGTGCTGCTGCTCTCTCTTATCGTCTGTCATGTACCGTGTCTGGTACGAGACGAACGCACTGTAAAATATGAATGTTTGAACGTCAACGTGACATCTTTGTTAACGTCTTTCATGTCCTGCAGAGTAAATGTGGACGTGACATTGCAGTGACATTTGCAGCAATGGCGTTTGATAGCATCTTGGAACAAGAAGAAAGAAAACGTCTCAGAACATTAATTCTGTCGTGTTTGAGGGTTTTTTTTTTGTTTTTTTTTCCTACCCAGATAAAGATTTCTCACAAACAATGAACTCGAATTCATATAATCTCGTCTCATCAGTAATGTCATGGCTCTCTGAACTTACCAGTATGTGAACTCTTGCTGTCATGTCGGGTAGAGAGGCTTCATTCATTCACTCCATTCATTCATTTCCTTTATTTCACACACAAATTAGAAATAAAAGAATAAAATACAAATATACAAGCATAATAGTAATAATGGGTGAAAATGGACGATGTACAAAATATAATTTCAACCGTAAAATACCTAAATCCTAATACATAAAACCCCAAAAGGAATAACTAAATGGTCCAGAACATCTGTCCCATCAGTCCAAATATCATTTCAATAGGCAGGATACACAATTAGCAATAAATGGTACATAAACAAATATGAGCAAAAAATAATACTAACAATAGTGGCTCAGTAGAGTAACCAGTTCGTAGGACTCCAGCCTTTCAGGAAACACAAATTTAAAAATATTTTAGAGGCAACTGCTGTTTAAGTTCCTTTTAAAACTTAAAAAGGACTTAAAGCTTCATTGTGACTGAAGTAGAAGGTGAGAGGAGATGTACAGGGAGAATGGAGAGTACTGCAAACCTGAGTGGACTTATGGGTGCACACAACTTCTTCATGGTCTTATAGTCCTTGACATTTAAAAGAAATAAAGGTCAAAGACTGTAGATAATGATGCCATCGTTAGCCCAATTTTGCAGCTGTGAGAAATGTGGTGTGGACCAGGTGACTTCATAAAGCATCCACATTGTTGCTCACTGGTTTTTACCGTAATGCTTATCTCACCTTCTTCTTCTTTGTGTGTTGCAGGTCTAACGAAGTCTTTTACTTTTGAACCGTCAAAAATGATAAGCCAGGCGCTGCGTTTCAACTTCACGCTTCGACTTTCCCAGCTGTGATGGAAAGGCACCGCTGACTGAAGAACATATATCCTGGATGCCGTGACATACGGGACGTGGTCAATCCAAGATGGAGAAAAAGAAAATGTGCCCCCGCCTTCTTGACTACTTGGTAGTAGTTGGAGCAAGGTAAGAAGTAGTTGTTGTTGGTTTAAAGAATATTCATTTTGACATCTTACCTCTAACATGACTCACACCTCAGTATTGTGCTAATTGACTGTTTACGGCTCTAAAGACAGAGGAGAAGATCATGGTTGCCCTGATTAAAGTCAGAGGCTCGAAGCATGTGTAAACTGTCTTGTGGTGTCTCTTACAAACTGGGCTGCTGTTATATCTTCTTCTACTGGCGCCCTGCAGCAACTCATTAACACTTTACCCTCGACATATTTTGGTTCGTCTGCACGCACCGTAATCGCTCGCCGTGAGTTTCTTTTTGGGAAACCCCAGTCCTGACATTGGATGGCTTTTAAGAGTTTATTATCTTTTATGAACGCTCTCATAACTTATTAAACTCTTCCTGGTTTTTGCTTTGGAATTGATGCATAATGAAGCATAGCGGCACATTGTTTCAAGCAGAAGTAGCTGCAGGGGAAAAGGATGATTCACATGAACCCAGTGAAAGTAGAGAACTGTCTGGGCTGCCACTGTTTTTAGAGTTCGCCACCGAGTATCTCGGCTGGAACATTTAGAGATTTAAGTGTGACGCTTCAGGTCAGGTTCAGGGTTGTTGTGGTATGAGGGGGTTACTTGTGTACTTAACTCTGACCAGATTATCCAAACCAGTTCTTGCATTTTAAAAGCTAAATATAGTCAGAAATGTGGCTCTACTATCAGGGCTTTTATGAAATGCTTCGCTCATCAGGTAATGACCATTTCAGATTATTAATTCACAGCTGAGTAGGGATGGGAATTGAGAAGATTTTATCGATGCCAGTGACAATGTTGTTTCTGCTAATTGGCCCAAATCTTAACCAATTCCTGATCAAGTGGTGATCCAGCAGCTGAAGTCTGGAAGCAATGAAGCAGCTGTTTCTGGTGAAAGAGAAAAGATCTTACTCTCTAACAAATGGTCTGTCTCTGAAGTGATCCTTCAAGCCGATAACGCATAGAAGGATGTTTCCATCCTTTCATGAAATGACCATTTTACAGACATTACAACCAGCACTGTCCTTGTCTTTCTTCATGAAATGAAGCCATGCTTTAGACAGTTATTTCCTCATGACTCCTCCTTGTTGCACGTTTGATGCCATGATTCTGCAACATGCAACGGTAAAAAAAAAACAAAAAAGACCATGGTGACTTGAATAAAGGGATTTCATAAACTCGTGGGGGAAATAGATGACATCAGAGATCAGATATTAAAACCACAGCTAATGATGGTACAGCACTAAAACATATGCTGCTGCTTTAAAAACAAAACGTTTGTCCATCTTCCCTCCAGGCAACCAAGTAGTGACAGTGTGGCCCAGACACCTCAGCTCCTCCGCCGCTACCCGCTGGAGGATCACCACGACTTCCCGCTCCCACCAGACGTGGTGTTTTTCTGCCAACCAGAGGGCTGCCTGAGTATACGCCAGCGCAGGGTGAGCCTCCGTGACGACTCCTCATTCGTTTTCACGCTGACCGACAAGGACTCAGGAATCACCCGCTACGGAATCTGCGTCAACTTCTACCGCTCTTTCCAGCGAGGTCATCACCGCACTCGTGGGGACAAGAACAGTCACACAGAGTCGGCGGGACAGGCGGCGGACACCGCGAGCGAAGGGTCCGACGGCAGCGGCGGAGGCCCGGCCTCCACGTTACCTCCACCCAGCAATGCCGAGTCAGCACCTCCGCCTGCCTCGGGAGAAGAGAGCGGAAAGCCGGGCGCCGAGCTGAATGCCGGCAAATCCCCTCAGCACAGACGGAGCGCTGCCAAGATGGCGGCCAGGAACCGCAACAGCACGCTGACCTCGCTGTGCATACTCAGCCACTACCCGTTTTTCTCCACCTTCAGGGAATGCTTGTATATTCTCAAGAGGCTGGTGGACTGTTGCAGTCAGAGGCTAACGCAGCGGGCCGGGCTCCCTCGCGCCACCCAGAGGTGAGGCTTCAGATTACATACAGCTCTTGTGTGTTTCCCGCCCAAAGTTTGGTGGATATTAAAACATGACGTTACAGCCACACGTCTACATTTTTATCTTCCTATTGTTATATTATTATATATTTGTGTTATTATTTAGCAGTAAACAGAAACAAACTCCAGCCATAAAATCACACCTGAAAACACAAACATACCTGAGCGATCATGTGCACTGGGCATGTGCGAGCCGGTGTAAACAGGAAGCAGATTGTCAAGACAGTTGTAGCGTTAAAAAGCAGAATTTAACTGAACAACAGCTGCTAGCAAAGACGACAAGGTCAGTAACGCCTGTAATCCGTTAATCACATTAATGAGACCCAATCAGGAGCGAGCGTGGGTGTCTACGTCTTCGTTTCCAAAAGGTCACTGTTTTCGCTCGTCCAGACGACAACGCAACCACGGAGGTTTCAAAACAAAACGGGTCCAGCAGCGTTTCCAAAGCTCTGAGACTGCGGGGTCGTGTGGACGGAGCCAGGCTCCCAGCACATGAACAATATGGACCAGGGCCACGATCAAAACAGGCTTGGTTCACTACAAGTAACTAAGATCTAGTTGTTCATTGTGCTGAGCTCATTCATGCTCGTCAGATGACGAACGCTCATTGTTTCTGACACTGTGACCTCCTTTGTTCGGCCAGCCTGAGGCCGAACGTGTGAGTAACGAACCCATCGCATTTACTGTCACTCCATCAGTGTTTAAACAATAATAAATCTGTACGTGCACATCAAGAGCAAAGCTTAACACACCAGAAAATAACCTGCCTTCATCACCTGTCAGCTGTTGAATGGCGCTCATGTTTATTATTGCACAGACGCAGAGTTGATACAGTAAATTAAACATTTCAAGGCTTGAAAAATGAAAATTTGTGGCTTTCACAGTATTTTTTTTTGCTGCTGCTGCTGATTCCCCATCTGCTTCTCTCATTGCCCAACTGTTATGTGTATGTTTGTGTTTCGAAATTAATTAATTAATGAATTATTAATACAAGAGGCTTTGTCTGTGGCACGGTGCAGTGTTGCAGAGCCATCTGCGGCTTGTGTCACGGCTGTTTTTCGCGGCGTGCGCTTCATGCCTTGGCGCTCCACCTTAATGATAAATAACGGCAACAAAAATATTCACAGTCCATTTCATTTGTCTTGTTTTGCTTGATGTGTGTTGCGGCAAATATTATTTCATTCAGCCGGACGTGTTCAGCAGAAGTACAGAGGCGGTTTTTTCAGAATGATGAATGATATGTAATCGTGCAGGTTTATACTTGTTTATACGGTTGACGTCACAAAGCTAAACCAGGAGCTGCGTGTTAAACCTGATCACGGCATTTCACCTGTTACACTTGAAGCTGAGAGTTGACAACATCGTCAGTTAATTTTTCTTAATGAAGCACCAGGGGTGACGGATTCATATTTTATTCAAGCCGCAGCTGTGCACTGTGGTTTGTTGTGACGCTGTGTTGTAGTGTGTCAGTATTTTTGCGGCGCTCTTCGGGTAATTTTGTTGCCACGGGTGACACAATAGATTGCAGTTTTGCTGAGACAAAGTGTTAATTAGCCTGTCACTTAACACCGGCTCAGGCCCGGTATGATTGTTGGTGTTCACATGTTTCCTCCACAGTCATCTATTAATAGCCAGGCAGCCCCCCCCCCCCCACCCACCACCGCCAACCACCACCAACCACTACAAGGGGATTTGTGGGAATGTCTAATTGCAGCCAGTTAATCTCGTACCTTTGCTTTCTCTCTCTCTCTCTCTCTCTCTCTCTCTCTCTGGTGAAAGGCAGCAGTGGATCCACATGTCATCAGTGCAGTCTGGTTTCTCTGAACAGACCTGAGAATCTATATATTTTTTTTTTCTTCTTTTTCCAGACTTGCTTTGTTGAAAGGCGTTATGTTAATGACAGAAAAGAAGGCGAGCCATTGCGTAAGGGCTTGGAGCGCTTTGTGTTATGGTGGCTCTGACAGATTGAGGTCTCTGGCTGCCTTTGGGTAGCAGCTGCAGTTGGTGGGAGGGCTCCAAAGGACTAATGATTTATCTCCCGTCTTGCCACACATGCACCGAGCATACACTCTGGAACGGCTTTTAACGGCACCATGTGTGTGTGTAGAGCGGAGGGGTTCACATCAATATTTCCTAATTGCTCTAGAGCCTCCCCTGTGCTTCGCTCTCATTTGCTCGTCATATTAGTGATTTCGCTGGGTGTTCGCTCAGCGATCAAACGAGCGAATGACGTCGTTTTTTCAACCTGAAAATTACAGTTGAATGACACCAACACACGTCTCAGTGAAGCTCATGATGTTTTACATGTCAGCGAGAAATTAGCCACATTTTGTCCTATAGCTAAGAGTCACTGTGTGATCGTGCTGTTACATAATGTGCAGTGTTGTTTTTATTTCTGTAGTTGCTCTTTTTTCTGTCTTTAACTTCATCAAACTTTGTCAGACACGTTCTGATTATAGATTATCAGATTTAAACATTTTCTTTTCACTTTTGTAGACAGGGGGTTAGTGGGGTCTAGTGCATTAACATAGAGCTTCAGCTGTTGTAGGTAAAAATCAGATGATAGGACCCTGTTATCACAGGTAGGGACTGAGCTGTCCTTCAAAACAAGAGACACGGACAGATTTTTATCTCAGATTTGAGAATTTATCTTCTTTGTTGAGACATTAATATCTCTTGGTGGTGGGTTGTTGCATCACATTGGGGTTAGGAAACTTAAAGGGGTGTTACACTGTCGTATACGCAGAGTTCTGAATATATACTTTGTTTCTCCGTCCTGCGCAGGGACACCATGTGGCGCGTGTTCACCGGTGCGCTGTCGGTGGAGGAGAAAGGCAGCCAGCTGCTGGCCGACCTGCGTGAGATTGAATCCTGGGTGTACCGGCTGCTGCGCTCACCGGTACCACTGGCCGGTCAGAGACGCGTGGATGTGGAAGTGTTGCCCCACGAACTCAAACGGTCACTCACCTTCGCCCTGCCTGACAACTCCCGCTTCTCCATGGTCGACTTCCCCCTGCACCTGCCCTTGGAGCTGCTGGGTGTGGACGCCTGTCTGCAGGTCCTCAGCTGCGTCCTGCTGGAGCACAAGGTAAAGGACATGTACAGCTCAGGACGCAAACTCTCTAATCAATCGTAGCTCTTTGTTTTCTCTGCTGATCTTTACAGAGAAGGAACATGAGACGTGCGCTCGGCTTCAAGCTGCAACCAAACCACCTTTGGGATTTTAATGAAGACTAGACTGATTGTTTCAAGGAGAAAGGGCCCACTGAGCTATATTTAGTACGTTGTGATTGGCCAGTGGTTTCCTCTGGGGTGCAGCTGTGTGTCCCTGCCTGGACAAAGGCCCTTCTTAAAAATGTGACCTTCATCAGGCATTTCCTGTAAGAAGCAGGCTCATTCAAGCCATTTGACTGCACTGAACAAAGGATGATGGGTAAAAATAGTGCACCGTATGAAAGGAGAGACACTTCATCTCTGTCTGTCCCATTTCTAACACCAGTAGCTTGAGTAGGGATGTAACGGGAGCCCGTGTTTGGCTGGCGCTGGTGTAGTGTTCTGTCGTCGCTCTTGTTTTACAGTGACACTGATACGAAAGCTCCATCGGCAACAGCTTCAAATCAAACCTAAGCTTCACGGCTTCAGACTCGCTGCTGAAGGTCTACAGTGTTGGATAACGAAATCCTCCCATCCAAACATTTTATATCCAGTCGTCTGTGTCGTGCCGCAGCGTACAGTATCAGAAAGGTGCATCTATGTGCAGTCGACCTGTACGAGACGCTGCCATCTTGTATTCATCCATTTAGTTTTATTTTTTTATTTTTTTATTTTTTTTTAAAGATGAATTCAACACATCATTAATTTCAGTCAGGCTGAACTAAGTGCTGCCTGGGAGCTTTCACAGTCACTGACAAATTAATTTATCATAAAAGCTAATCTGCTACGAAATGTCTGTTCGTACCTTAGAAATAAGAGGAAAAAGAGGAAATATGTGCAGATCAAATCTATAATAATAAGTCAACGAAGTCACAGTGTCTATTTAAATATGACAGTGTAACATAACACGACTGTTTGTATTGAAATACACAGGAAAATAAAAGTGATGTTTTGTTTTTCCCCTCAGGTCATTCTTCAGTCCAGAGATTACAACGCCTTGTCTATGAGCGTCATGGCCTTCGTGGCCATGATCTACCCTCTGGAGTACATGTTCCCCGTCATCCCTTTACTGCCAACATGCATGGCCTCGGCTGAGCAGGTAAAATCCATCATTTATTATAAATATATTTCAAGTACGTGGAAGGTTTCTTCGGGTGTAATTGCAGTTGCTGTCCATCAAATGGTGACTGATGGGTATTCCTCTCCTCTCCGCAGCTCCTCCTCGCCCCCACTCCCTACATCATAGGTGTACCAGCCAGTTTCTTTCTCTACAAATCTGATTTCAAAATGCCAGACGACTTGTGGCTTGTGGACCTTGACAGCAGCAAGGTCGGTGCATCGACACGGTGTCCTCCTGCTTCCTCCTGCTCTTGTTGTGTCTGTTTTCATTGTGGCCGAGTAAAGCTGGCAGATAATATCTACTATTGGAGGGACGTCTGGACGTCTGGGCGTAAATGTTTAGTTGGTTTTTTTTTTCTCGCCCTTTCTATTCTCAAATCATTTCTGAAATGAACTTAGAGGACTGTTGTTTGCCCGCAGGTTATAGCACCCACCAATGCAGAGCTGCTACCACCTCTTCCAGAGCCTGAAGCAGGCGAGCTTAAGAAACACCTGAAACAGGTACTGCATGTCTGATTCCTCTTGGATTCGATCACTGTAACGTTTCCTCGTTCTTCTACACTGCGGCAGCCGGTCGCCAAAAAAAAACAAAACACCGGCACATTTTAGCATTTTGCAGAGAGATTTCTGGAGCCCAGGTTCTCCTGCCTAGCCGACCTCCTGATGTTTGTTCCCGTGACTCGTTGCACTCTTGTTTATGAATATAAAACTTCTCTCTCAGCAGTGTGAAGAGTAGGGGTTTCCTTCTTCAACACGGTTGTATGTATTGTACATGAGTGTGGCAGCATTTGAATTTGGATTTGTCGTGCACTAACATGAACAAATGTTTTTCTTGTTTCCTGTTTTCTTTGCATGCTCTAGCTGTTGGAGGTAAAATCAGATGCTAGACGCTATCCAAGCAAAACCTTTAGTAACACTGGTAGAAACTAACTTGCCCCCTTCTTACCTGATTATTTAACACTAGAATCTGGTTCTGATTCATGGAAACATCCCTTCACATCTTAGCAAACATGGAAACTGTGTGATCATTCGGTTTGCTTATAGGCATCGATGTTGATAGATTGTAATGAATTGTTGTTCCACAGTAATTCTGGAACTTCTGCAAATTGAAATAATTAAGAAATTAATTAAGTTTACACGTTATTTTAGACTCTTGTTTGAACGACTAACAGAAGAAGTTAATGTTTCAAACACTTCTCATCCATAGTAAGACTCACAAATTGGAACAATGGATGAAATCCTTGTAATATAAATGATTTTAAACGATACAGGGACATCACTTGAGTCCAACATCACTTTTAACACTTTTAATAACAATAATTTAGTTGTTTTACAGATGAGTATCAAGGACTTTTTCAGGTAGCCAAGCTCAACATACATACACACACACACACACACACACACACACACACACACTGAAGCTGTTTTTATCTGTCAAGTTAAAACTTTTATCCCAGAACTTTCCTTATATGTTCTGTTCAAACTTTACTTCATGTTTTTTTACACATTTAAAACCGTACTCATCTACCCATTAAGTTTTAAATATGCCTTGAATCAGAGCCGGTTCGTTAGCCGTATGTGATTAGCGAGCTCTCTCCCCGTGTGCGGATGTGTGACTGAGAGGCCGGTGTGTAGGAGTGTGCAAAGCCTCAGTTTAGCAGTTGTATATTTGGAAACAAGTACGCAATATTGATATCTGTGAATGGAGAAAATGTCACGGAGGATGGTTGAACTGATTATCTGAAGACTGCGATGCCAAAGCAGAATGCTGCTGATGTGAGAGCCACCGAAAATACTTGCATTTAACACTGGATAACAAAAATAAATCGGTCCTAATAAGTGACCGATTTATTTACCTTTGGTTGGTTGTATTATTTCAGCTCACCTGACATTTATTTATGAATCAAGAGTCACAATTAAGGCTTTTATTTTGCCACAGGCGCTTTTATTGTGCAAGTATTTACCTATATATCTGAAAAGATCTGCTGTTTTGTATCTGTCATCACCACTCCACTGTAACCACTGGTTTGTCCCAGTTGGTCACCATGGATGGTTTTCATATTGTCTTTTATTGGCTGGATTCTCTGGGTGAAATCTGGTTGTTTTTTGTTTTTTTTTGGTCACATTATTGCTTTTATCTGTGTTTCTCACCGTCTTCTCATTTCATTTCCTCTTCTGATTCCTCTCTCTCTCTCTCTCTCTCTCTCTCTCTCCTGGTCTTTCTTGCTCAAAATTTCTGTCTCTTCACTCTCACTCAGACGTGCAAATTCTCTTACTTCACTGGCCGTCCATCACCTTTTCAAAACAAACACAAATTTATCTTTTCTTATCTCCTTTCTTCAGTAAATTGTCGAGTTGAAAATGGAAATTAGGGAAAAGGGCAAAACACGCCTTTCATTGCGCAAAAACAATCATGAAGTTTGATGTTTTTGACTCACTTTTGTGTGCCACCAAAATATACTTATTTGATGTCAGCAAAAAAAAACAACAAAAAAAAAACGGGAAGTACTGTTAAAAGGAGACAAAGAAAAGAAAGGGAAAGGTCCGTGATTGAGACCCTCCTGTCATGTGCTGTTCCAGTGTCAGTCACGAAGTTGTCATTCCAGGCCTTCATGTGATTCTCCTCGCATCTCTCTTATCCCCTTCCTAGTGTCTGGTTAGGTTGACCGTGATCACCCAAAAGCAGATCTTCTCCTCTGAAAATAAGGTTACTCATTTCTCCTCCTGTGGAATGTGTAATGCCCCTGCACGGATATCTTCTCTCTCACATTGTTTTGCTTGTCACTACTACTTTGTCTCCTGTTCTCAAGACTTACAGTATAAAATGCATAACAGCGTCACAGAATGTTGCGGACCAGTCTTTTGATAAACTGCTTAGCTCTGGCTTGCGCATGACTGAATGTGCGTGCATCTATCTTGGCATCAGTGAGTGTTCTCGTAACCAAAACAAGATACGATGAAGCTAATCACTTTGACGAAAGTTAACATTCATCCAGACCCGGCAACTAAATGTTCCATTATGCTAAGCTAAACATTGACACTCGAGTCTGCAGCAGTCCCCTCAAAGCAAACCATGCATAGTGACTTACTTCCCTTGTGCTCTTCCTCTCCAAAAAAAACAGGACACGCCCACTACAGGCATCAACATGCACCAAACTGATCCCTCAGCTCCTGGAGATTATACCAGTGAAGTACGATTGTGAAATCAGTAAAACTTTGTCAAGTTGGATCATCCCATAATATCACCCCTTAAACCAGATGTTAACGTCCCCATTCTAGCAGTCAGTCACTTTGGTCCGACTTGTGTTTCCTCTTTAAGGAGGCCAAACAATTACATAATGTCCCACTGAGTGTAGAAATTGAAATTATTAACAAAATGTTGATGCCAATTGTGGGAGTGGTCCATCACAGCGCTGTGTCTTTGTGTTGAGATCCACTGCCACGGTTATAACTAGTGTCACTGTCGCTCGTTGTAGGCGTTGGCCAGCATGAGTTTGAACACCCAACCCATTCTGAACCTGGAGAAGTTCCAGGAAGGTCAGGAGATGCCTCTGCTCCCGCCCGGACGAGACAAAGCTTCGCCGTCCTCCACGGAGTTCAACCCCCTCATTTACGGCAACGACGTAGATTCGGTGGATGTGGCCACCAGGCAAGCCTCCATTGACTGTCGAGTTTTGTTTTTTTTCTGTGGCTCTGTTTGAGGAACCCTGAAGTCAAGTCGTACAACCTTTTTAAATGAAGAAATCTCACATCGTTTGTTCTTGCAGGGTTGCCATGGTGCGGTTCTTCAACTCGCCGAATGTTCTTCAGGGGTTCCAGATGCACACTCGCACCTTGCGCCTCTTCCCCCGGCCAGTGGTGGCTTTTCAGTCGACGTCCTTTCTGGCATCTCGGCCGCGGCGCTCCGGCTTTGCAGATAAACTTTCTCACACCCAGGCGGTGGAGTTCTACGGGGAGTGGGCTCTCAACCCCACCAACCTCGCCTTTCAGAGGATACATAACAGTAAGGCCCGTTCAAGATGGCTGCCGGTCAGTATACTTTACAGAGGAAGTTGAAGGCAGCATTATAAACATTAAAACTCTGTTTCAGATGTGTTTGACCCCTCCTTAATCGGAGACAAGCCCAAGTGGTACGCACACCAGCTCCAGCCAGTGGTTTACCGAGTGTATGATGGAAGCTCCCAGCTGGTTGAAGCTATGGCCGGTCCCTTGGAGGATGAGGGCAACGAATCTGACCCCACAGACAGGTAAAGAAAAAATTGAAGATATAACAATATAATTTAATCTGTGTTCAGTTAGGCAGCTCTTGGTAGTGAATTAATTCCTCTCGTTGCAGTGGCAGTGACAGCGAGGCGTACGACGACTCCAGCTCTTCCTACTCCTCACTCGGCGACCTCGTTAGCGAGATGATCCAAGGTGACATCCAGGGAGACACGCCGAGTAAGTTGTTGTTGTTCCGAGTCAAAGATGCACATTGACGATATTCCTGCCATTTTCCTCCTGGTAATACTTGACTTTGACGTCTCAGGCTTGGACCCTCCGACCCACGCTGCGCTGGGAGACGCTAGCGAGGTTGAGTTTCAAGACTTCCACGACTTCAGGGAAGGTCATGGCTCCGAGGGTCCGCCCAGTGGGGAAGGACCCGCCGAGCCCTCCGATGGACAACCCCTTCGCTCGAGCTCCAGCACGACCGCGAGCTCAAGTCCCAGTACAATCATCCAGGGAGTCAACAATGTGCGTGATCTTTCCAATCTTATTATTAATATTTATTCATTTATTTATAATCGAGTAATGCAGACTATTTCTAATAAATATTAAACTAAAGGAAAGAACAAACAACATTTAAGCGTCAAATTGAGCAGAAATTTACACGACTCCTGTTAATCTGCGCGCTCGTCCTTTTTTCAGGAGCCTGGGGAAGCACCTGAAATTGAAGCATCAGCAAGTGCTGCTTTACAGAACCCTGTCCCCGGACTGGGCAGTCAGCCATTCCTCAGGCCCACAGCTGATGCCGGCCTGGTGGACCCAGCCAACAAAAAACAGGAGTATGACAACCCATACTTTGAGCCTCAGTATGGCTTCCCCTCAGAGGATGACCCTGATGCAGAGGAGCAAGTGGAGTCATACACCCCTCGATTCAACCAGAACCTCAATGGCAACAAGTGTGTTAAACTTGTTCATCACTTGAATGAAAGCACTGTCATCATTCAAATGGGCTCTCTGACCAACCATGCAATGTCCTCTATCAAAACTGAGCATGTCAAATTACTCTCTCCATTCATGGTGGTCTTGAATCTGTGGTGGTGTGATGCTGTGATTATGGTGTGACTGCTTGAGTTTCCCATGTAGTTTGCATTTTCTATGTTTCTCTCTTTTTGCTTGTGTGTGTGTGTGTGTGTGTGTTTGTGACACACGCTAATGTCGTTTGGTGGTTTTTCTTCAGGGTACAGCGTCCGTTACGTCCCAGTAGCCTGAGGCTCCCGGGAGAGTCTGACGGGGAGGGAGACTCCCGCAACAGCTCGCCAAACTCCACCATCTCCAACAGCAGCAATGATGGATTCGGAGGACTCATGTCCTTCGCCAGTAAGAACATTTTGAATTTCGTTTTGGTTTCCTTTCAGCTAAGTCCGGGTTATATAACATGGAGAATGGGCTGAATTGTGCGGATGAGGATGAATCGGAGAACCAAAACCTAAAAAAAGCACTTGACAGACTGGATTGTTAAGGACATAACAGCCACCTTAAGCTTGAATCTGCCCCCTCACATATTCAAAACTGCCTTCAAATCCAGAGTGTGCAGTGAGTGTAGCTGTCCAGATGAGACTGAACATGATGTCGCCTTGATGAAGAATATTATTTCTGATTTTCTCTTTAGACTAGAAACAGAATTACTTGATTTTCTCTGAGGTGAAGAACTGAAAACTATAGACTGCGATGACAATAAAGCGGTCGTTCATACAACTTGCTAACACACACGAGAAGTAGATTTAATGTTGTTTTACTCTTTAAAGTGGCTATTCTATATTTTTATGATAACAATGGATCACAATGGATCACTCTTAGTGACGAACCCACAGAGATCCGTCATGTGACTTCCCCCCTCCCCCTGAGCTCTCTGGAGGGTTTTAGCATCTTTTAGCTCATTGTCTTGGCTTTCTGTTTTGGTTCACTGCTCTTATTGTGTAAATTAGGGCCAAAGCAGTCAGCTGTTTCTCAGGAAAAAGCTTCCTGAGACGCAGACAGACAGACGCGGCTAACATCCAGCTGGTGAACATGTTTGTTAGTATTTAGCAGATATTTGCTTCAGAGGTTAAAAGGGAGAGTAAATTCATCAGGTGAGGATTGTTTTCAGGTTGTCCATCTGGCCCAGTCTCGTGGACACAATATCTCTGAGACGCCTCGATGGAACCTCTTGAAATCTGGCAGAAACATTCACTAGGACTTAAGGATGAACTGATTCGATTTGGGGGGGGGGTTAAAGGTCAAAGGTCAAGGGCGTGGTGACCTCACAAAACACGGCTTTGGCCTTGTGAACGTAGCATCTCTGTAACGCCTCGAAGCAACGTCTTCAAATTTGGTAGAAACGTTCACTTGGACTCATGGACGAACTGATTAGACTTTGGTGGTCAAAGGTCAAAGGTCACGGTGACCTCAGAAAACAGTTTTTAGCCATTACTCAAATGTTTAATACTTTATACGACCCTGGATAAACAGGGATGTAGTCTGAGTGGCGGAGGGATACGACCACGAGGAGGTGATTCTAGTTTTATTGTAGATGTGGCCATTTATATATTTATTATTGGGTAATTTAAAAGTTCGTTTTTCCACAGCTGGGTCTGTTGCCCAGCTGAACAAAATTTATGTTGTAATTCCTTTTGGTTTTGCTTGATCGTTTAAGTTTTACGCCTGTTGTCTGATGATACGGTTCTCGCTCCCACCAACAGGCAACCTTTACAAGAACCACGGCACCAGTTTCAGCCTGTCCAACCTCGCCCTCCCCAACAAGGCGGCGAGGGAGAAGTCCACACCTTTCCCCAGCCTGAAAGGTAGGACGACGCAGTCTCACCGCTCTTACACCTGTTCACGTTCTCCTCATGAAGTTGGTGTTTCTTGTCGCTCAGTGTGGTGTCGAGGGCTGATAGGGAACAGCGTTATGAAATGTTTTGTTCAGAACGTACAGGTTACACTAACCCACTTTTCTAACCCACTCATTTAATATTTGATTTATTTTTCATCGCTGGCTTCATGTTTGCAGTCATGCACCTGTCTATTAGGACGTTTTTAAAGATATTTTAACGTACTAATTTATCACATCACTCAAATACTATGATTCTCATTTAATACACTCTCATAAAATCCTAACGATTAACAAACCGTAACTACTTTTAGATGTTTATATTTAAAAATAACTAATGTGCACATGTCTAAACAGAGCAGCTGATATTTTTATTCATTAACTTTAGTGTCTGTTCTTCTCTGCCTTTTTTTTGTTTGTTTTGTTTTCATTTCTTTTCTCTGTATTATCTTTTGGGATAAAAGAATATTTTGATTTTGATATTGAGGAAGAAATGGAGCAAGCAGGTTTGTAGAGCTGTTTTTTTTTTTTTAATGGCCCGACTTCCTCTCCTCCCTCTGGACTGCCAGTCAGATATGGCGCTATTTTAAAGGAGGATATTGAGGATATGTCAAGGTTTTTCTCTCAAGAGTCTAAACGGGAAAATCCACTCGAAAACAGACTTCAGATTTGTTTTGTTCTTCATTTGCAGAGATGAATTCATTTTTTTAAAAACCCCATTGGCCCGTGGTGTAGAAGCAGAACGTGCTCAGGTTTGTTTGAGTGGTTCGTATGAACATCGGTACAAACGTTGGATTTTTTGGAAGCAGATAAATGTGGCGAGGCAGGTGTCGGTCTTTTTCCGAATGAACTGCAGGATTTATAGTTTATGGGCGTCGGGCCTCGGATGTCAGATATCACCATGAATCCAACTGCGGTCGCAGCTGATGCTCATATTCGACTCATATTCGAGAGACGGTAAATTATTCACAGCGCAGACAAATCTTTCACGCTCTGCTGGAAGTTACAGGGAGTGAAACCGCACTTAGGAAACAGACTTATTAAAAAATGGAGAATATTTATGAAGTTTTCGAGACGCTGATATGAATTCTGTTCAGGCTGGATTTTCACTTTAACTGAGAGATAAAACAGGTGGAGCATGGTCATGTAACTCAATAGCTCCACTCCATGTGGAATAGCTGCCATAGAAAATGTTCTGTTCCTTTTGATTATGATGTGTTTTGTCTTTGTCGTTCAGATGACCCTGACAGCCCGGGTATGTTATGTCTGGTGTGGTAGTTTTTTGTTTTTTAGCCCCGCCCCCCCGCCCTGACTAGGCATTTCCTTATCCTTGAAGTGACCTACTCCTATCTTTCACCCTGTTTCTCAGCGTAGGATTAAACTAGAAGTCACCTTCTAATGTCCTTCATGCCTCCCCCTCTGTTCCTTTGCCATTCCTCTCTGTGTGACTGGTGGGAGTCTTTTTGATGCGTTACGATGCACACACACACACATATAAAGTCAAAGGTTATTGGTGTGGCATCTGCACGTCCTTAGTACCGCAGAAGGATGTTCAGTCCTTTTTTATTTGTTGTTTTTTAAACTGCATTGACATAATTAATGAGTGAATGTGTGGCGTCCAGAGTTTATTTCCCACCTGCCTCCCGACTCTCATGTGTTTTGTCCTGCTTGCTTGTTTTGGTGGCTTCCATTGTTGAGTGTTTCCCTTTTCTCTTTTTTCAAGGTCACTGACTATTTTTTACTTTTTTAACAAAAACAGTGACGAAACTTTGAAGTTCACAGATTTTTTTCTCTTTATCATGATTTATATATTTTTTTTGTTGTTGTTTTTTTGTGCTCAAAACACGATTTCATGCTCAAATCCTAAAGACAAGGCCTCCAGTCATCGTGCAGATTTCCATTCCCATCGTTGAACTGGATTATTCACGGGCTCCTGTGTTTACAGGAACGTATGAGCTGTACACAGCCAAACACGTGCACTGTCAGGGTTGACGCCATCATCAGTACATATTGTATTTTTGTCTTTTCTGTCGGTCCTTTTTTTTTTTTTTTTTCTTCTTTACTTTTTGTATTTTTCTTTCTCTGTTTCGGCGCCATGTTGAGTGTGCATGTGTGTGTTATGGGTTGATGTTCAGACTGGTTGTGTCTGGGCCGGTGTCCCTCTCTCTGTCCACCTTTTCGCGGCACTAATTCTGGGTTTTGTGTGCAGTATTTGGGCTAAATTCTCTAATGGAGATTATTACTGAGGCCGGCCCGGGGAGCGGAGAAGGTGGGTTCTGCCCTTTTTATCGAGTGAGCTGCATGCTTCTCCAAGCCAGTCAACTACATCTCCCAGCATCCCCCCTGCCCCACCTCTTGTCTTTCCTCATTCCAGTCACCGTGTGTGTCATCGAAGGTCCAGTTGGAGCATTGAGTCTGTTGTTTCACCACGCCGCCATTCATAGTGACTGTTCCCTTTCCTCAGACTAACTGTCGCTTCACTCCACAGTATGTTTAGCTTTATTTATTGAACCAGGTAAAACTAGATCCCACATCAGAAATCACAGGAAAATGTGAAACAACACATTACGCAAGAAATAACCGCAGGGAAGCAAATGAAGCACAAGACGTAGAGGAGGATGTCGGAGTTGAAGGAGAAGAATAGAATAGACTCGGCTAATCTACCCACATCCATTGTTTGTCATTGTGTTCTTGTCTCGTGTGCTCCCACAGAGTACGAATGGGGTTGGGCCTAATCAAGCTTTAATTGTGCTGTGCACAATGAGCTGTGACTACAGTGAAATTATGCAAATTCTGAATCTAAACTGATGAAAATCATTATTTTATTATAAGCGAAGTTCAGGCGCTTTTTTACCAGGAAAGATTCTGGTTGTGATGATAATGGCAGCACCACAGACGACATCCTCCAGAACCGTCACACTGTCAAACCAGCGCCTCTCTGACACTGAACATTTGAACCTTCATGAAGGAGGATTTATTGCGGCGCTGTTGGATTATACTGCATTAGTTTCAGCTCCAACAGTTTGTCTGTTTGGAAAGGAGTTCGTCAGGTGGGGTTGGGGGAACTCGGGCTGTCACTGTTGGAGAGCTGCTCTGGGTAGTTTATATAATTACAACAGTACTGCAGAGTAATATGGAAAATAGACTCTGTTTTACTCTGTTATTTCACTTTCATAAAACATGTCTCTTCTCTCGCACTCTGGGATTTGATGCAGGGTTTTATCTCTGGTGTCATATCCACAAGGTAGCAGCACATTTATTTTCTTATTACTGTTAGACACAGACGACGTTATGAAACCACAGAGGGGAAACTCGTTTGGTTAACAGAAGAGACACAAGTCAGGCAGCTCACAGCAACAGATTTAAATATTCTATATTAATACAATGCACTTAGTTTCAGGAGCAGTAATACAAGAACTAAATATATGATAAAACTAACAAGAATAGAATACAGACATAACAAACAAAGCAGAAAACACGACCTGTATCTCAGGAAATGGGTTTTATGTATTTCATGTCATTCCAAACGCTTCACAGCTGTGGAAGCAGAAGACCTTCCTAATGGTTGTATGGATCATTTTGTGCATCGTAAACGGGTCACTGTGTTTCTCTGCACATCAAAAACCCATCTCACCGAACGACCGTGCAAACATTACCAAAAGTAGTTACCCGGCCCTCGGCCGCAGAGCGACGCGCGTCCGTCTGCAGCGCTTCCACCGTCGTGTAACGGCGGCGGTCCCATTATAAAATCGATGAGGTCGGCCGGCTGAGATGGAAGCTCAGGTTGGAACAGTTAATTTAGGGTTTTTCTCCCTAAAAAAAAAAAAAGACAGAGTTGTCCGTCTCCTTCTCGTGACGCCTCGAGACGACTCCTTATTCTGCAGAAACCTTCGCTTGGAGTCGAGGATGAATTGATGGTGATTTTTGCGATCAAAGGTCAAAGTTCAAGGTCACTGTGAACATGTTTTTTTGGCCGTTGCTCAAGATTATTATGACAACAATTTAACACAAATGTCTAAGTGCTGACATTTTATATCAAAGGTCAACGACGCTGTGACATCATGGTGGCCATTATTCGCTGCTGTTGTGACCATGTTTCCTGCAGCTTGCCTGGTTGGTGGAGACATGCGTTCCCCCCCGTGAGGTGGTAATTCTGCTGTTTTAGCTTTTCAGATTGGCTTCACCACCATCTCTCCGCTGTTACTCGGGACAACAAATCATAAGGTCCAGGACAATACGATAAACCTCAGGGCTCCTCAGACTCTGTAAAAAGCAGGTAAAAGGTGGGATGAAGCCGCGACCTGCAGGCCGGGCCACTAAATAAATAGATGACGCCCCCAGCCACAGACTCCGCTGGAGTGACATCACTTTTTCGAATAGATCATAACAGCTATGCTTTATTGATTTTCCAGATAAAACATGCTGGAAAAATTCTGCGTAAGTGTTGGTACTGGGAATCAAACCTCATTTCTTGTCCCAGTGACACTGCAGCCGCAGTAATAAACAACAGATCCCCACTGTCACATAAAACTGACAGTAAATCAGCCTGAAAGAGGAAAATGAAAAAATTCGGATCAGAAAAGCTGCTCTGTCGTCTTGTAGGAGGACGTTCCCCCTTCCTCCTCTCACGCCTTAGAAATACAATCAGCAAGAAACAAAATGGAGAAATCGGAGCATCGGTTGGATTTCAGGCACGTCTGAAACGTTGGTCAGCTGATTTCCAACATTTATAAACTGCAGTGAGCTTTTACTTATTTAATATATATATATTATATTATTATAGGTGTGACATATCTCTGATATAAAACAACTTCGCTGCAGAACTGACACCATATTTTCCAGTGTGAGTTAACACACAATACACGTGATTAATGAAAACATCCAGCGTCTCTGAGATGCTGGAATATGGAACATCTTAGATTATTAAGTTAAAAAACAGGAGCCGTAATGACCAGTGTCATTAAATGCTGAACTCAAATAGATTGGTCTGGGTCAAGTCTCATACTTCATTTATTTTTATATAATATATATATATATACACACACATATATGAGTCAATTGAATGAGTAAAGAAATAGATTTTCATAAATGTTTTGAGCCTCTTTAATTATTAGATTATAATAAAATGATTGACCCAACCCCAGCTGCAGACGCCGAGCAGCAGAGAATTAAAAAGAATCGGCCTGTGACCTTGAACCGCAGCTCGTCGTCCTCTCCATCCACTCATCTCTTTCTTTTCTCTCATGCATGATCTCACTCATGTAGCTGCTGTACAGACTGTCCTCTGTCTGACCTCACATCTCTGTGCTGCTAATGTGTGATGCCACCACCAAGAGCACCATTTGGACTCGTGTGTGTGTGTGTGTGTGCGTGTGTGTGTGTGCGTGCGTGCGTGCGTGCGTGCGTGCGTGTGTGTGCGTGCGTGCGTGTGTGTGTGCGTGCGTGCGTGCGTGTGTGCGTGCGTGCGTGCACCACGTCCCAGTTTGATTTGTCCTTCACCTCAGTAATAGACTCTAGCAGTTGCAGTAATCTGTGTGTTCAGCAGTAGATAACCTTCAGTAGATTCCAGGTGTGTGTGTGTGTGTGTGTGTGTGTGTGTGTGTGTGTGTGTGTGTGTGTGTGTGTGTGTGTGTGTGTGCTTCACAAAGTGATGGAAGCTGCTTTAATTTTCTATTTGATGTAGTAGCTTTTAAAACAACCTGTCCTGGTCTCCAGTTCCTGATGAGCCTGATGTGCCTCTGTGTGTGTCCAGTAGTTGACAGTGTTTGTTTTGATGTGGTTTGGTTTTCCTGGTCTGGGGCCTGTGTTCAGAAACCTCATGGTCGTGGTTTTCCTTCCAGGCGCACGTGCACCGCGAGCGCTTGTGGACCAGAAGTCGTCGGTGATCAAGCACAGTCCGACGGTGAAGAGAGAATCTCCCTCTCCTCAGGGTCGAGTCAACAACACAAGGTATATTACAACACATTTCATTATGCTGTGTTTGTCGGGGTCAAAGGTCATGACTGTAGCCTGGTGTTGTGAGTACAACTGAAACTGTCGACTTGTTCTCAGTGAGAATCAGCAGTTCTTGAAGGAGGTGGTGCAGAGTGTTCTGGACGGTCAGGGAGTCGGCTGGCTCAACATGAAAAAGGTTCGCCGCCTGCTGGAGAACGAGCAGCTTCGTGTCTTTGTGCTGAGTAAGCTGAACAGAGCCATCCAGTCGGAGGAGGACGCCCGACAGGAGATCATACGTGACGTGGTGAGAATGGCGTGAAATGCACATTAACAATGTCAGCAACAGTAAGGGGAACTCGCACATTAAGGACAGTTCATCAAAAGGCAAATCAAACATTGAGAAAATAAAATAAAAATATGCAAAAATTGAAAAATTAGTATCAGTCAGTCAAACTTTATTTGTACAGCAGTTTTCATACAGGTTAGTGCAGCTCAAAGAGCTTCACAGACGACTGATGAGCTCAAAAGAAAAGGACAAATCAAGTCAATAAAATAGATTTAAAAAGCTCTAGAAAAGAAAAAAAAAAAAGATCATCCCCAAGTTTTTGCTCGCTGGTTCAGTTCGAGTCCAAAGGAATTAAATTATGTGACCAGTTTCTCTCTTTAGAGTCAATATTTAGAATTTCAGATCCGTCCCGGTCGAGCTGTGAAAAGTTTTGAGACATCCAGACATTAATATCTAAAATACATTTAAAAAGGGAATCGATTGGTCTTGTGTCATCAGGATGATGACGTCACTGAGGGGGGGACATGTATAGATTCAAATAGAAAAATGCATATAAAAGTAGAAAGTAGTAATCTTATACAAGCCTGCAGCAAAGAAGATAAAAGTCAGGCGGGGACGCTGAGGAAGGGAGGTTGTATCAGCAGATACAGGTTCTTCAAAATACAATTTAAGATGTCTGTAAAGAGAAGGAAAAGGACGCCGTCGATGCGTCTCGTTGAAATCGTAACCCTTGTTGCGTTGTCGTGTCTGCAGGAGGTGAGCAGGAAGGTGTACAAAGGCATGCTGGACATCTTGAAGTGCACGGTTTCCAGTCTGGAGCACTCGTACACCAACGCAGGCCTCGGAGGGATGGCCAGTGTCTTCAGCTTGTTGGAAATAGCGCGCACGCACTATCAAACCAAAGGTACGTCACATGGGTTCAGCGCAGGAATGCATCAGTCTCAAGCTGGATTGTGTGATTTTCTTTTTATTTTGGAGGTTGATTTTTTTTTTTATAATTGCATCATCTTATTCTTTAAGACTTTTCTTGCTGAGAAGCGTAACGGCAGCGAGCCTCTGCTACTAACACTTGTTCATGTCTTTGCATTGTGTTTATATGAAGCTTAAAGCTGCATGCAAGACTCAAAACATTAACAGTAATTGTAAAGTTTAGATTTCCTCACTGTTTTTCCTCCTTTGTCTAACGCTGTGAACTCTCTCCCAGTTTAAACCTCCTCACGTTTTCTTTGTACCTGTAACTCTGATGAACTCTGTCTCTGGCCCCTTAATGTTGGTAACTTGGTAGACCCAGAAAAACGCAAGCGAAGCCCCACAGACAGTGCTGGCAGCCCAGGGAGTAAAGAGAGTCCTTCTGGTCGTATGGAGACCGCCAGACCTCAGGGCCTCCTGAATATTCCCCACCTGCAGCTGCCGCACCACACAACGGGCAAAGGAGCCCGCCATTTTGATACCCGGAGTCTGAACGAGGAGAACTTTATTGCCTCGATTGGTGTGTACACCACTCCAGCCCCGGTTGCATGTGCACTGTGAGACCCCCCCCCCGTCCCCGCCCTAGCAAGCTCACATGAACCTTGATTCCAGTCTCCCACCCACTCCTCCTCCGCCGCGTCTCCAGGGGGTTTCCAACCCAGCCCCTCACTTGTCCCAGACAGATTCTTACAGGTGTTGAAATATTCCACACACTTTGGCGTGACAGCAACAACAACAACGACGGCTCTGTGAAAATTCACTCCTCGGATCTTCTCCAAAAGACTGAAGTTGTGTTTCTGTGTCTAAAAATGAAAAACCTAAATTCAGAATTGGTTTAAAATCTTCCCGTCGTAGATTTGAAGCCGCCCCTTGAAAAGTGTCTGGAATATTTCCCTGTCTTTCAGCCTGGACTGCGTGTGTTTGTCTCCCCTTCCTCAAACATCTGTGCCCCCTGTTTGCCTCCTCCCTGGAGTTCTGTTGTCAGCCTCTTAGCACCTTGAATGCATGTCTTTGTTTTGGTCTTACCAACACCTAAATCTGCAGTAGTGGACGAGGGAGAACCGGAGGTATGCGCATTGACAGTCAAATCGGCGCTTGTCTGTGCCTTTACTGCAGGTTTTCTGCGAGGCGTGCTCTAGAAAATGGCAGCTCCTTTGCTCTCAGCATGGAGGGTGGAAGCATCACTCCCCAGTAAACAGTCCCAGTAAACAGACAAATTCCACCACAGGAAGTGTTTTTCTATTGGTCGCCAAAGATCCAATTGGCTTAGAAAGTGCTTTACACAATCACTTAATTTTCTGAGAATGACTCTGGGTCTGTGTACGGGGGACACGTTCAGTCAGCCACCCCGACACCTCTCCTACCCGCACCCCTTTTTCTTCCTGTTAGAAGTTGCACCTTCAATTCTACAGAATGCTGTGAGACTTGCAAAACCCCCCCGCTTCAGCAACCGCTCCATTTCACCTGCTGGCTAGTCGGCCTCTCGACCCCACCCCCCCCACCCCCCTCATCCCATGCTCTTTTTTTCCCCGGATCAGAGCCACCTCTCTCTCCCTCTCACCTTTGCTCTGGAGAGCCAGACAAATGCAGTCGATGAAACCGGAGCCAAAGCTGGTTCTGACGTCACTGTGTGGCTCTCCAGGACTTTGGGCCGGGAGCTCCGGGTGTGTTGTAATGTTACCTTAGTAGCTGGATCCAATTTAACAACAAAATACTTCTTCTTCTTCTTTTCCTTTGTTTCTGTTTAATTCATGTCGTCCAGATTAAAGCGCAGCTACATGCAAACATTACAAAACACCTTCATTCAGTAATGACAGATTTCTCGATGCTTATTTTGTTTTTGTTTTGATTTTAATGCTCATCCACCATACATGCCTTTTCAACCAGCTCTCTGACTCTCTCTCTGTCTTTCTCTCCTTGCTTGCAATGCATCTTGGGTAGAATTGTGGAGCAAGCACCAGGATAAGCAAAAAGCTATGGAAAAACCACAGAGTAAGACACTTTTCACACACCAAAAAAAGAAAAGAAAAAAAAAAAAAGAAATCTTGGGGTGCTGTTGACCTTTTTCCACCCCCCTCCTTCTCTTCGCCTTTTCAAACTTTTCAAACTTTATACATGAATAAGTGAAAATGAATGCTCCTTATAAGCATGTCAGAATGGATAACTGAAAAACAGAAATGTGCTTATACTTATTATGTGCTACAAATGACATGTGACATCGAGGTAATGAGAATATATTCTGCTGATCTGATGTTTCTAGTTTTTAAACACAGCACACACACACACACACACACACACACACACACACACACACACACACACACACACACGACACTGGATTCATCACCTGCAGTAGTGTCGGTGCAGAACTTCTCCCACACACAGCGCTGTGAGAAATGACACCGTTGTTTTAAAAACATGTGTTTAATGAAGACTTGAGGGTCTCGGTTTGTTACAGTTCTTTCTGACTACAGTACGGCTTCACTATAATACAGTATGTAATGAAATCACATGATTTAGTTTTACACAACACGGGGTCCGTGATATAGAAAAGAGGGAATTTAATGTTCTAGTTTAAGCTCAAGCAATATGTCATTTTATTTTCCAGTGTGTTTCTTTGTTTTTATTTGCATCAGGATGAACAGAAGTGAATACCTGCTGCCCTTCCTGCTCTTTTTAACTGTATTTTTTCCAGTTTCAAGTGGTTTGCTGTGAATAAATTGTGTATTTACGGTCAATATTCCACAGTCGTTGGCGCATTTTAAAGGTTTTATAAAATGTTTTCCAAAACTTAAAGCGTCACAAGAAAAAAACAAAAAACAAAAAAAAAAACCCAAACAAACTGAAAAACCAGGAAGTGTCAGGATCATCTACTGGCCGGTGATAAATAACACTTGAAACAGAAAATGCCTCCTTTACCGTCCATCAGTTTGTCTGCATGCCTAACTGCCTGTGTCTGTTGTTTCTGGTGTAACTTGGGCAACATTTGCAGCATTGACTTGAGAATTAATGTCACGCTCGTGCAGTTTCTTTGTTTCTTTCATTTGAAACTTTTTTTCCCCCCAATATTTACCGCACTCTCTGCTTGCCCCTGTGTCACTTCTCTGTCTGTTACTGAACTCGGTCAAATCACCGGCACTGGAAACAGAAAGTTGTGAGAGAGAGAGAGAGAGAATAAAATGTGTAAGATGTTGTTAGTCACGCTGTATTATTTTTAAACTTAGAGGCAACATGCCGAAATCATTTCACCGACTGGGATAAGGTAGTGTTATACTCCTGTGCTTTGCTGCGAGATGGAGGCTTTTGGCGCTGTAGACGGAGGTAGCGTCAGTGTTGCTGTGCTGCTGTGGCTGTGAGTGAGGCGACGCGGTGAGGTAAGAGGGTTTGGTCGTCGTGTTCGTGGGAAAACACGCTGAGCATCACGTGTGTCCCGCAGGGTCTGAGGGAGCGAAGCAGCAGCGCCCCCAGGTGACCGACGCAGAGGAGAAGAAGTCACAGATCAGTGCTGACAGTGGCCTCAGCGTCACATCTGGATCTCAGGTTTGTTCATGGAGCATTTTGATGTTTTTAATGTGCTGCGAATAACTCATATCAAGCTGCGCACACACTCTTCTTTTCCCTTCTGCAGAAGAGCGACACGGAGTCCGTCACGAGCTCGGAGCCACCGATCCTGACGAGAAGCACCAGCCAGGACTCGGAGGCCAGCACAGTGGTAGGGCCCGGCCAACTCAGACACCGCACCTTGTTTCTGTCTGTTCCAGATACAAAATAAATCACGATATGAACCGTAAGATCATTTTGGTCCAGACCATTCAAGTCCCGTGACTTCAAAATCTGATTTTTAAAAACAAAAACATGTTTAGTTTATTGTTTTCAGCGTGTTGGACAAATAATTGAACAAGCTCCTCGATGGAAAACGTCATGAGGTCGAGGAACGATGGAACCTGGATGATAAATCCTCATTTCATCACCACAAAAACAAAACAAACAGGATTTAAATGTTGAAATAAAACATGAAAGAAAAATACAAATAGAGAAAGTTCAGCCACTAAAATGATAATTAAATAGAAATAAGGAAGTGATCAGTGGATCAGGATTAATTATATAGGCGCTTTTGACATTTCTACAGTTTCAGTTTTAGTGTTTTCCACTATGAGAGTGGATTAAGTGAAACAGCATTTATGTTTAGACTAAAGGTTTTAGTTATGATGATGATATTAACTATAAATTCAATATATTTGTTTTTCATCACGACTTCTAACTGGATTTAAAGAGAGTAAATCTATATTTATGGATTTGCATCAAACATAAAACCGTTCCTCTGTTGTTTCTACATTTACGTGGTTCTGCCGTGGGGTCAAACGACAACGCGGCGTCGCTTTTAAATGGTGCTACGGCGAGGAATCGTGGGACGGCATTCTCTCCTTTCCTTTCCTTAAGGAAGCTCCGGTGTTTCCTTTGCTCAAGGAGATGAGATAGGAAGCACTGAAGCTTCCATGAAGTGTAAAAAAAAAATCACAATTTCAACTAATGGCTGGATCAGGCTGATCGACAGAAACATACATGTGGTGTATTAGCTGCTTTTACACAAAACCCAACCCTCTGCTCTGGAGTCGCTCTCACACCTGGATGGTTTTTATGTTTCAGATCAGCAACAGCTCTGGAGAAACTCTGGGAGCCGACAGCGACCTGAGCAGCACCGCGGGAGACGGCCTCGGCGGGAGAACCGCTCCTCATCTCAATCAGTCCAGGGGAACTCTGTCTGACAGCGAGATTGAAACCAACCCAGCCACCAGCTCAGTGTTTGTAAGTAGAGTTACACAGTTCTCAGTTGAGATTGTCATTTATTCATTTGGATTTATGAAGTCGGGAGCTAATTAAAAAGCTCCACAGGAGTTGATGGGATGTCGGGCTTCCTGTGTGTACCAGAAGAAACGAAGGAAGAGAAGCTGAAAATGAGAGAAAAACTTTGATGTCCTGGGAAAAAGTTTTTCTTTTGCCAAGTTTTAATTGTGGTGTTTTTAAAGCGGGAGAGCGCCTTAAATGTGGGAAACTGTTCACGTGATGCTGCGATCCAAACGGGGCCGAGAACAGACGCATCAACACACAATATATGAAACTGCACACGGGTCGTTATTCTTCTTTAATTAAACATTTGTATTTCTGTTTTAACTCCCTCCGCTGTCCGTCCCATTCACTCGGACTCAAGGATGAGATGCGACCACGAGGAGGAGATCCTAGTCGGGTCATTGTTCTTCCTGTAACGCGACCTTATCCTGTCTCCTCAGGGAAAGACCCACACTCTGAAACCAGGTGTGAAAGATCACGTACCTGCCATGGCCAAGGGGCCGCCAGCGCAGCCCATGGAGGACATCAGTATGAGGATTTACCTTTGCGAAGGCCTGCTGGGTAAGTTCTGCCGCTCCGGATTTAATACCTTCAATAAAACATTTCCTTCCTTCCTTCATTTCCTGTTTTTAGAAACACTCCAGAGTTTCTGTCACTGTAAACTGTCCTGCGTTGCTTTACTAACATCATCTTTGTGCCTCAAAGAAAATCTTATGAACCAAGCAGCTTAGTAAAAGGTTCTTAAAGGTAAACGTAGTAAAGTGAAGACGAGAGTCGTGATCTGTGGGATTTTAATTTCACTCAGAACAACTTGTAATGTTCCCGCAGTGAACTCTCTCACTAATGGCGGAAAGATATTTTTAAGAAAAGCAGAAGTCAGGACATGTGACGACAGAGAAGTGGTGAAATGTTTAAACATTTTATTGTGAAATAATTGTTAAAAAGGGAGAGGTTACATCCTGATGTGAATTAACTCTAAATAGAAACAGGAAGTTGTGTTCACTGCTGCTCGTCGGCCAGGTTTGGCTAAAGTTAATTTTTAAAATATGTAATTAAGGTGTGTGTTAAATGATTGTAACTGGAATTTAATTGTAATTGTATGTTTAACCAAGTCAAACTACAGTCTTTAAATATGTAAAACCAATAAGGACCTGTGGTTGTTTTCTCATCTGCTCGACTGTGCTAATCATTTATTCTCTTAAAAATGATCCTGAGTGTAATATCGAACCTCACGGTTTAAACAGTGAGTAAAAGACGGCGGCACGTCCTTGTTTGTCCCGGTTCTTGTTCCTGTGGTTCTCCGCTCTCTGCTCTTGTTTTTTTAACATTAAACCCACTCACCTCTTCGCCCTAACCCCCCCCCCCCCGCTCTCGCTGCTTCTCTTCCCTCCCGCTGCTCCTCCTGGGAAATTTTTCCAGGCCGCGATAAGAGCTCCGTTTGGGATCAACTAGAGGATGCTGCCATGGAAACCTTTTCTCTAAGTAGGGGCTAATCTCTTGCCTTTGCCCTTTTTCCTCTGTGTGTGTGTGTGTGTGTGTGTGTGTGTGTGTGTGTGTGTGTGTGTGTGTGTGTGAAGTGTATCTATTGTTCGTCCGGACTCGCTCTGTGTTTAATCTTTCATGTGATGTGATGTGGGTTTTTTCCTGTCTGTGGCTGAGCTGCACATCTGTGGTGTTTCTTAACGTGAGATAAAGGTGGGAAATACGAGCGCTCCTTTCCCCTCAGCGTCGGATCAAAGACGACAAAATGTGTGAAATTTCCATTTGCTTTATTTTTACTTTTCCGCTCAACACCCACGTTTCATTTCAACTTTCACGTTGGATTAAAGTCGTGACATTTCACGGGTTTGCATATTGGATGAGCGCGTGTTGCCTTCAAGTGCTGTCAGAAATGTAATTATGAGGCGAGCACACTCAAATGAGCCACCAGCTGTTAAATAAGATTGGGAAATGTCAAGATTTCCAATTAGTTTCTCATGATAGTGATAAGAGTGGGGAAAAATTTATAATGAATGAATTATATTTCATTCCTATTTCAACCTGTGAAAATTATTATTATTTTTTTATTTTTTTATTTTTAATCCTTAAAGTTGTTATGCATTTTTATTTTTATGGTTTCAATAATTTTGTGGCTTTTTGCAGCTTTATTTCTAAATAAATTCAAACATCAGCCGATAAAATAAGAGTTAGAAATAAAAAAAATATAACTTTGATTAACTGATTGTGCCCATAGTAATTTATCTTTTTATAATAACTTACAGAAGTCAAGTCGGTCACTGTGTGTGTGTCAGAGAGAGTGTGACTGTGTTTGAGTGGATGAGCTGTGTCGGTTAAACTCTGGGAGCTTCATGTGCGCTGTGCACCTGTGTTCAGGTAAGGAGCGCTCCACTCTGTGGGACCAGGTGCAGTTCTGGGAGGACGCCTACTTAGATGCCGTGATGTTGGAGCGCGAGGGCATGGGGATGGACCAGGGACCCCAGGAGATGATCGAAAGGTTCAACACGGCCGACGTTTTACTCTGTTTCTTTTGCTAAAAATGAGTTTCATGGCTGTGCAGCATCATCTGATTCATGAGCCTCCCCTGGACTATTAATATTTGCTTGTCAACAGATACCTGTCGCTGGGAGATCACGACCGGAAGCGTCTGGAGGACGATGAGGACCGACTCCTGGCCACCCTGCTGCACAATATGATTGCATACATGCTAATGATGAAAGTAGGGAGCCCCTGTTTGTTATTTAAAATCACACAAGAGTCAAATCACTGACTTCATGCTGCATGTTTGACTTTTTTACTCCCATGTGGCTTTTAGTTTGTTTTTAAATTTCCCTTGAATGTTTGTTCAGGTGAACAAAAATGACATCAGGAAGAAAGTGCGGCGCTTGATGGGGAAGTCCCACATCGGCCTCACGTACAGCCAAGAGATCAACGAGATACTGGACAAACTGGCTAACATGGTGAATATCTGTCCTTTTGTTTCATTCAGTTCATTCAGCTGCTAACGTTTCATTTCACAGGTCTGTAAATTCACATTATTTTACAAATAATATCCGTAGAAGTTTCCTGAAAAGAACCGTTTTAATTTGGTTCAGTTTATACGTAAAACTACGGAGGTGTAACTCATCCTCTGTGTTTTAATATATATAATATATAATAATAATAATTTTATTCTGAAAAACTGGATTTTTTTTAAGTGAATATGTTTTACTTCTGTATAAAACGTAGAGATCAGTCAGTTTATTGGATTTGCTTTCTTGAGTAATCAATAATAAACAGCCTGAGAACTTTGTCTCCATTTGTTCTGTAATGTAGGAACCAGAGCAGATCTTTACAGGAGACTTTTAAGAGATTATTATGAAATAAAAACATCATTGTTCAGCTATTATACATGTTTGTAATTGTTTGTATTGCGCTGTGTTTTCAGAACGGCCGTGAGCTGTCCATCAGGCCCAGTGGAAGCCGTCACATCAAGAAGCAAACCTTTGTTGTTCACGCCGGCACTGATACCACAGGAGACATCTTTTTCATGGAGGTAGGAGGGAAAAGTCTTGAACACATTACAAGTTAAGAATGGAGCTCACAAAATAATGAATGAACTCAGTGTAGAAAGAGTACAAGAACACTTGTACGAGCCTTTCCACATTAAAAGTCTTCCTGCCGTCCCTTCTAAGTAGGCTTTTAATTTGAAAAACATGAATGAATTAGAGTTTTACAACTAAGATTACAACTTAACTCCTCGTCGTTTCAGGTCTGTGACGACTGCATCGTCCTGCGCAGCAACATCGGCACAGTTTACGAGCGCTGGTGGTACGAGAAGCTCATCAACATGACGTACTGCCCCAAGACCAAGGTCCTGTGTCTCTGGAGACGCAACGGCCAAGAGACGCAGCTCAACAAGTTCTATACCAAAAAGGTGAGAGACTGCACCTGAACGCGTCCTGTACTTTTATTTCAGCATAAGAAAACACTGGTTAATAATTAAAATGACTTTCCCTCTTCTTCTTTTTCTCCCCTCCAGTGTCGTGAACTGTATTACTGTGTTAAAGACAGTATGGAAAGAGCTGCAGCAAGACAGCAAAGCATTAAACCAGGTATGGAGTCAGTGACTGTGCTTTATGCTTCTTTCTATCTGACATGCTTCAGCCTGCCGTTAACAGCTGCGGAGGACCAGTGATGTCACAGGAAGAGTCATAGAGCATTTCCTGTATTTCACATTGTAAAAGCAGGAATTGTAAAAAAAAAAAATTAAATTAAGATTTAAAAATGGATTTAAAAAAACAGCAGAAAAGTCTCATTAAATAAACCATTTATAAAAACATTTATTAACTCATCAATAAATAATCGATTGGCTAATCGATTAGCTTCTCCGTTTAGCCTTTCTGTCACAAATAGTTTTTCAAATTCTATTATTAATTATTAATGAATAAATGTATTTATAAATGGTTTATTTAAAGAGTTTTATGCTGTTTTTATAAATCCATTATAAATACTGAAGTATTTATTGACAGATTCTTTTTACAATTCCTATTTTTAATATAAAGCTAAGGAAACGCTGTAATACTTCTCCTGTGACGTTCCCCGGTCGTCCATATCTCTCAGGATGAGCGGACTCAGTTTCTGTTGGGACTTTTGATACTGAAGTGCTTCAGCTTCAGGGTCACAGTCAAATACATCAAAATTAAATTTCACATTTCTTTCCCACGTCCCAGCAGCGTGTAATTTCTTCCCCCCCCCGTCAGCCTGTTGAGATTCGAGGGGTTTTTCAGGAATGAATTATCTGTAGCAGCTTTAAAAACTGGGCTGTGGTTTCCTTCAGGGCCGGAGCTGGGCGGAGAGTTTCCCGTCCAGGACATGAAAACCGGCGAAGGCGGACTGCTGCAGGTCACGCTGGAAGGAATCAACCTTAAATTCATGCACAGCCAGGTAAGAGGCCAGTAGAACCACAGCAGAGAACCTGCTTCTCATCTCACACGAGGGCATGAAAATGAAAATCACTCCTGACGGTTTCAGAGTTCATCCCGTCCTTCTGTCCACCTTTCTGCTCGTCTCTCCCGTTTGTCTCTGTATCATTTCCTTTCATCACGTGACGTCTTCCTCTAATGTCATTTAAAAAAAAAACAAACAAACAAACAAACAAACAAAATAAAAATCAACTGGCAGAGATGATTGATTACAACATGTTTGATTGGCGTTCACTCATACCGGACCTTTTCCCCTAGAGGAAGAATTCCTGTTTGTGCTTTTGCTTTTTTGTTTCTGCTTTTTCTTTCAGTTTCCGGTTGTATTTGTTTGTTTGTTTGTTTGTTTGTTTGTTTGTGCGTGCGTGCGTGTTTTTTTTTGTTTGCATGCGTTTCTCTCAAACAATATTAACACATCCCTCCACACGAAGTTTCTTTTCTCGACATCTGTGGTGCTCAAACCTCATGTTCATTTACTGTGTGGGAGGAGATGAAGTGTTAATGTGTGTGTTGTGCATCAGTGGTAAGACGGACGACCTTGAGCAAAGACTTTTCATTAATAATTGGCTATTTAATAGCAACTTTGACATTTTAAGTTTGGACCCTTGAACATCGTCATGTGTCGTCTTCACGTCTGCGCAGCTAGTGATAGTCGTGGGTTCGTATGTTAATGTTCTCCTCAGGTTCATTAGACTGTGACGCTGCGGTCGTCTGAGCAGTGACCCGACTAACTCACCTTCATTCACGTCACGCTTCTTTTTAGAAAAACAACAACACAAACGAGCGAGGAAGATTAATAATATTCTCATTTAGTGCGACAGATACACAAACTAATTGTAAATTTTATGACTAAAGCATGAAAGTTTCAGCGTTTAATTTACACACTCAAAGGTTTTATTTCAGACGTGGAGGCAGTTTGTGTCTGACCTCTGGTTTTTGCCCCATTTCTCCTTTATAATCATGTTTCTTCGCCAAAAATGGCATTTTTGTTCTAATAAAGATTCTCATTTGTTGCTTTGACCATGTAATATCATTTTGCTTAGAGCAGAACCGACCATTTCCAGGTGTTAATGTAGCTACAGCTTGTTAGAAACATTCACAGCTTCTGGTGTTTGTTCTGTGGAATCACATGACCTGGCAAATAATGAGAAGCTAGCACGCTAGTTTGGTCTGGACCTCACTCATCACCTCCGCTCTGCCCCAGAGGTCACATCTGAAATGCCTCCACGTCTGAAAACAAACCTCATGGTTTATAGAAATACTTTTATGCTTTAGTCATAAAATGCACAATAACCATCCTACAAATTTAAACCGATTTCTCAACAACTGAAGTGTCAGTTCACCCAGGTTACAAGACTAAAAGCTGACTCGTCGCGTCACCTCCGGTGTCATCGGGCCGTGCGGACGGTCTCGGCTGAATTTGAATCTTTCTGCCTCTGACTCGGTGCAGAGGAGGTGAATGGGATCTGTGGCGCTCTGTTGTCCTGGTTACTCTGGATGATCCACACAGCTCACTGCGGAGAGTTTTCATTCATCAAACAGTTGCATGTTTATATTTTCTATCTGCTACTTCAGGCCTATTAATAGTATTGCAATATTTTTTGGCTATATTGTAATATTCAATGTTTATCTGGATATTTTTTAAATCTCGTCTAAAGCACTTTACAATTACACAATTTAACCCTTTGATGCATAAAATCACAACTGGCATTAAAACATTCTTGTTTACAGTTTATTCATCAATAGTTTCTATTGGAACCATTTTTAATTTGCATGAAAAAAGGGGGAAAATCACAACCAAGTTAAATTAGACCCTTATAATAAAAGCTCGATCTGACTTACTTTCCAGACGAATCGTACAGAACGCGTCATTAAAAGTTTCTATATTTAATTTTAAAAGTTCAGTCGCCGCTAACCAGCCCGTTGTTGACTGGTAAACAGCTAGCCCGGCCCGCTAACTGCAGCCGGAGACAGCAGTGCTTGTTCCGTTCGGGGAGTTTGGCACAGCAGCACACGAACCAGTTCTCCACCTGAGCAGAACAAGAACCACCGTCAGCAGCTGCAGTCGGACCGCGGGACGAGAGACACAGGAAGTCCGGACGAGCCGGGGCTAGCCGGTTAGCAAGGACTGAACTTTCTAATTAAAATACTTACATTTAGCAACTTAAGCACATCACAGCAGAAACAGGAAGCAGATTTTTCATTCACCTTCATTGTAAAAACCAGGGCAGAAACTGTGTGTGTTTATAATCTGGGTGAACTGACCCTTTAACTTCTGTGTCACTACACTGACTCACTGTTGTTATTTATAACTGCCTGCTTTTGCTGCTTGTGCTTTTTCTACCGCAGTCTTTTCCGGCTCAAGTTGCATTTTTGCGCTTCACATTGCACGGGGTTGAGTGTCCACACGTAGTTCAAGTTTTTATTTTTAATCTTTATCCATCACCATCAAGCTGAGATTCCTAAAGACGCTCAGTGTGGAGAACATTTCGCTGCGAGCGGCTGCAGATTTAGGTCACGGAGAGTTTAGTGGTTTTTTGAGTCGGACACTTTCAGCAGCAGCAGCTTCATCAGCCTGTTTTTGTTTTGTTTTGTTGTTTGTTATTTTTTTTTAAAAGACTAAATTCAGCATTATATTGAAGTAGCAGCGGGTTGGTTCGGGCTCTGAGCAGCTCTGCATTGAGAGTGGTGTCGGAGGTGATATCCTAACATCGTAGCGGGATTTACTTTCCATCGGTGACCGCCCTCGTTTATCCGTTCTGCCGTGTGAGCGAGTGGTGTTGGTGCCAGCCCTTGTTGCTGGAGGAGGAGGCATGGAGGGCTCTGGGGGACTGAGATGTTTAAAGTCTGGGAAAACAAAGGTGAATCCAGCTCTCTAGTCAAACCTCTAGTCCTCTTTTTTTTATGTTTTTTTTTATTCTTTTCTTTTGTTTTGTTTTTTTGATTTCCTAGTTTTTGGGGGCTGATTCGTCTTGTGACGGGTTTTTTTCACATTGGCTCTGGGAACCTCTGAGTTTAGATCCTTGAACCGAGTCCGTACGAGGCTCCTGTCCGGATAGCGCCCTCTCGCAGTGTCGTCGAGTGTTTGTGCTCTTCTGTCCGATAATAATCCAAACCATTTCTCTCCCATGCTCTCTCCCCCTGCAAGGAGCGGAAGGTACACAACCTCTGCTGTGTTTGCTTATTAGCAGTTACATCTTATTGGGTTCCTTCTTTTTGTTTTTCCTCTGTCTTTTCTTTTTACTGTTGTAGCTGTCTGGCAAATCTAATTTTGTGTCCTTGTCTACATTTTTATATGGAAATTCCATGTATGCATCATATGGGCCATATTGCATCTCTGAGCATAAAAAGAAATGTGTTTTTTGTTTTTTGTTTTTTAAACTACCTTTGCTGTTTACATCCAAATATAAGAATAAACGTTTCAGTTGTGAAACACTTCATTGATGAAACAAATCATGCTGAATTAGTTTTGAGCTTTGAGCAGACTAAATGCATTTCTCCTCATTTAACCGTCGCCCATGTATGCGTTTGATCATGGAAACTTCTCATAGTGTGCTTTTCTTTTCTTTCATTAGCTGTTAAAAAGCTTGCATCCATGTGTAGTTGTTTTATTTTTTACCTTTCACACTGAATAAAACAAGTTAAACATGGTTAATTTCTAAATATAAAGTTGTTTACTTTTCATCCAGTGTTGTTGAGTTAATAATGTTCTGTCTTGTTTTTGTTTGTTTTTTGTTTGTTTTTAGGTTTTCATAGAGCTGAGTCACATTAAAAAGTGCAATACAGTGAAGGGAGTCTTTGTCCTGGAGGAATTTGGTAATTACACCATCTATTGATTCTAGGCCTGTACTCGGCACGGCAGTAACTCAGCTTCATGGCCAATGTATTGACGAGAGCTGATAAGTGTTCGCTGAATTGGATACCCGCTCTCCTCCGGGAGCAGCGAGACGCCGGCGTCCGCAGGTGTTTAAGTCAGTGATGAATTCTTCAGAGGACGTGGTTTTCCTCCCCAAGTTCAGAGCGAGCGACGTTTCATTTAGTAGAAAATGAAACGATAGGTCAGTGAAGTGAGAGGACAGTAAAGAAAGTGAAGATTCTTACATCTGATGTCGGCAAATATCATGAGAGCATCAGTGAGTCACATACATGTTCCTTTATTACTGCAGTGCATTTTGAGCCAATTCCAGAGCACCACCTGTGTATCAATCCACAGCTGAAAATAGTCCCCAACAAATGCACCATTTACTCCTTTTTGAATAGTAGATGGTAAAAACTGCAGTGACCAGATGTTTTAGGGAATTTGTTCAATCTTTTATAAAAATAAGAAACTATATGTTTGTGACCAGATTTGATTTAATTTAATCTTTATTTAATCAGGTCGTCTCATCGAGATTAAAATCTCTTCTCCAGGAACAAGAAGCAGTCGGTCAACAAGAGACAACACAACTGCACAATACAAGAAACTAAGAAACAAATAATCAACAACAACATTTTGAGGGCGGTTTGCAGATAAACATTTAAACATTATAACATTTTAAAGATGAAGGTTTTTCCTGGGGTTTGTTAGTAGTAATAAAAATATAGAATACCAGCAGCTTTAAGCTTTCAGATCATTTTTAATGTTTTCCTGCATGAGCTGTGAAATATTTGGTCTGGAGTCATTAACAAGTGCCAGACAAATCACTGACGTGTAAATGAATAAATGAACACAAGTTACTCCACGCGCTGTAATGACCTGTTATTAAGTTCTCCCTCGTTGCTCTGATAGAATCAGAATAACACGATTGATCCACTTCAACTGACTGAAACCGAACAGTGTCAAGGACCTACGTCTTCGTTTTATTTCCTGGTTACAAAGAGATAAACTCGTTTATTAAAGAGCGTCACTTTTAAAAGCACAAAGGGAGATTATTTTGAGGTTCAGGCCGCCTGTGTGTTTCACACTCACACTCACAGTACGACAGTGCAGTTTCTGATCATCAGAGGTTGAGAGTGCCAGGCCGGGTTACTGCCGTGTCTCTGTGCTGCTTTTGTAATGTTGCCCTCATCTTTGCCACTATGAAAACCTTCATTCTCCAGCAGGTAAAGTGTTGTCACCTTTCTCCTTCTTCTTATTCAAAACTTAATTCTGTGCAGAATATTTCCTCACACTGGTTCATTTCTTCCTTGAGTTTTTCCCTCTGCTTCCTTTCGTCACTTGCTTTTCATTTCGGAGATCACCCCAGACTCCATCTCTCATGTGGTCATCATTCTCCGACAGTCTGCCTCTGTATCTCAGTGGAGATCATTGGTGGGACTGTTGTTTTGGGGGAGGGAGGGAGGAAGGAGGAGGAGGTGGAGGAGGAAGAGGAGGAGGAGTTGGGGAGAGGGATTTAACATTTCCCAGCCCTCTTCATCTGTCCAGATCTCAGCCTCCTCATCTCCGCTGCGGGTTCACAGTTACTAATGAAAAGTCAGTCTGTCCCGGGGACAGTGACGTGGTCCGGGGTCAAAGGGTTTTGGCCTCTTGTAGCTGCTTCTGTGACGTCTTTTAACTTTCAGTCCTCTGGGGTGGAACCGGTCGGGGGAGGGGAGGTTGTCCCTTTCTTTTCTTTTCTTTTTTTTTTCCCCCTTGTCTTTTTTTTCTTTGTTTGTTTGTTTGTTTGTTTTTCATATTTGAAAATGTATAACCTTTACAGTCTCTTGTTCTAAGACATGTGTGTGTTTTTATTTGTCCATTTCGTGGGCCATGAACGTCTCACCAACAGTCCCGACCTCAGATTCAACACTTTGCTTTCTAATTTAAAAAAGTTTCATCTTTTAAATATTTAATGAGTCAGAATCACTAAGTTTAACCAGGATTTAACCTCCTGAGCTGACTGCTGTGGTGGACCGTTCTTGGCCCACATCCCATTTTACACCTTGTTGAAAGTTCACCCCCTGTAAAACCCCCCCCCCGCCCCAAAGAAAAGCTCTCAAACATGAACTCACTGAGGTTCCTGCTGCCTTTGAATTCTTTGTTTTGTCTCTTGCACCGGCATAGTTCCTGAAACTAAAGAAGTGGTGATCCACAAGTACAAGACCCCCATGGTGAGTCCTCGCTCCAGCCGTCAACAGTCAGTGCTTTTTACCAGTGCATGTGGAGAACTAGTCTCGAGGTGCAGGAGGGAGAAACGCACATCTGAAAACATGACGAACACGACGACTAACAAGAAACGAAATCTGAAAACTGTAGCCGGAATCTGAATGAAAACACTTTCCAAACACACACACACACACACACACACACACACACAGACAGCGCTGAGGGATGAAAAAGACTAAACATTAAGACAACAATAACAGGAAGTGAGGAAACACTGAAGACCGGAAAGAAAAGATAGTGATAAAATAATAAAACACTGAAACAGAGGAGGTTTATTAATGTGAGTAAAACCATAAAGGAAAGGTAGGATATTAAAAAAAATCAAAGAAAAATGGTGAAGATAAAGTAATAAAATGTGAAGAGAGGAGATGTTTGGAAAAAAATAAAACCAGAAATAAAATAAATAAGCAGAAATAAAAGTAGGGTATTAAAAGGAAAATAATCAAACCAGTAAAACAGCTTGAAAGATCAATAAATAAAATTCAGTTAAAAAGTAATCGACCGACTTGTTTTCTTTAGTTTAAGCAGCTGTAAGAATCTTTAATTACATTTAATGATGATTTGGTCGCCGACGTCGTGTCGACGGTCGTGAGAGAAACGTGATGAAACCAACCAATCAGAACATGAAATTAGGCAACGCTTTATTTTGAAGGTCTGTTATTTAGTTTCTTCAAACTTCCTGGAAAGAACCGACGAGTTGTTGAGACCGTTGTTTTAGTTTAGTTGGATAAGCTGTGCTGTGTTTATTACAGATGAATTTACATTAAAGAACCGGCTCCATTTAAACCGCAGCAGATATTTATTACTCGCTCATTGATTATTGGAAACTTTGTTCTTGATTTATGCTGCAAATGTCTGAAGAACAGCTAAAACTACAATACAAGTTGTTTATTTTCAGTGTTCCTCATGAAAACACATGAATCATTGATGTCTAATAAATGTGTTAAATGCTTTTTTTTTTTTTTTGCTCATAAATCGACTGCAGAGACGGTTTTTCTAAAGTTTGGTCAGAAACTTTGCAGACGACCTTTTTTAAATAATGACGTGTGCGGCGTGTTTTAGCCCCGAGAGGAAGCTCGTGTGCAGCTTTGTTCTTTGTGTTATCTTTGACTTTCCTCGCGACTTTGATCGTCCCCTCTCCTCACGGCTTTGTCTCCCTCTGCAGGCACATCAGATCTGTTACTCCGTCCTCTGCCTCTTCTCCTACGTGGCGGCGGTGAAGGGGAAGGAGGCGGAAGGAAAACCCAAGATCCTGTCACCGAGGCCTCTTCCTAGCTAGTCTACACTCCTACAGCCCCCCTCCCCCCCCTCCCCTTGGTGTGCCTCTCTACTTGAAATGGCATCTCAGCTCTAAAACCACAGACTTCTGACAATCCCTAACTTTATTCTAAGCACACAACCCTCCCACCCCCCCTCCCCTCCCCCTCCTGTACATACAAGCCTAAGACCCCTTTTAGATCTTACTGTGTTAGACGTGTTTGGTCTGTGATGTCGTGTAAATACTCCCCCCCCCCCCCTCCCGCTGTCGTCCTGATGATCATACCGACTAGCTAAATGTTTTTTCCCGCTCCTTCAGCCCAGCTGCGTGAAAGTCTTCTGCCGAGACCCAAACTGTTTTCACAGACAGGACATGTGAGGGACGCCCCCGAGGCACAGAGTGCATGCAGGTCCCGTGCACAGCCTTGATATTCACTACAGAATAGCTTACCCACCCAGAGGCGCCCCCTGCCCGCGAACCCCCTCCTCCTCCCGTCTCCGTGAGTTATCCTGTGGTTATGTGGTTACTGTAACAGTCCAGTCTGTCCAGTTGAAACTGGTGTAAAAAAAAAAAAAACCCAACAGCCCCTCTCGTAGTGCAGGACGTCCCACACTGAAAACGCTCCTGTGCACTGCAGCAGAGCACCGCATGTAAACGCTTCTTCAAGGTGTTTGAACCCTAAAATAATGTGAGTGTTCTCAGACGTGTTCTCTTGCCCTAGCTCCTGTTCTAGTTCTACTGTAACATTTCTCGTCTGTGGTCTGCTGTTATCAACTGCATGTTCCTGTGAGGATGACGAATAAATATTATATATATATTTCTATATATAGTATTTATTTAATATATACATATATTGACTGTACATTTCTCTGAAAAAGTGTTACATATTGTTTATTTGCTAGATGTGCAATACTTAATGAGTAGTTAGCCATTGCCAGAGCCGAGGTTTTCTTGAGTTCACTGGCTTTTCACAGAGTGAAGAATGTAAGAAAGAATTTTGTTTTTTGTTTTGTTTTTTATAAGTACATATTGATTGATGTGAATATGATGACTCAGTGCGACATGACTGTTTTAAAGTTTGTCTTTCGCAGGTAAATCAACTTCCAATTCACATGTGGGGAAAAAAAAAAATAAGTCTGCTGCTCTCTCCCTATGGATGTAAACTTTATGGAGCATTTTGCACTCAGGCCACACCCCCAATCAGTGATGTCACAGCAGGTGGCGGAGATGTTGAGGTAAACATTTGTCATCTTCTCACAGGTTTTAAGTGTCGTCACCTTTTTTGAATTTAATAGCGCCGCTCGTGTGCGATGTGTAACCACGGGAGCTGCTGTCGTATTTCCTTCAAGAGGTCGTTATTAATGTTTTTCAGTCTTTAAAACGGGAATCTCACATTTTATATTGAAGTTGTACATTTGTTGACCTGTAGATGGAAATTTTAAAAATGGACTTGTGCTGCATTCATGTGACATTGTTTTTGCCATAATTACGAGCAGCCAAGTTGGAGATCATCACGATATACAACTGCAAAATAAAATCAATATTAACACAAAGTCAATGAATTTAAAAGGAGCTATAAACTGTTTTATCTGGTTTCAGAAACAAATCAAAAAGCAGCAGCCAGATATTTGAAGCCTCTTGACTCGATTTTAAAGACTGAATAACAAACGTGTAACTACATCGACTCCTGTGGTCACACTAACGATTCTTTTCATTATCAATTCATTGTTTACTCAGAAAATGGTTTTAAATCCTCTTTATAGTTTCTCAGTTTAAGTCGAAAACTAAACTAAATTTTTTAAAAAAAAGCAAAGAAAATAAAACGGTAAATATTCACATCTGAGAAACGGAAAAAATTTTTGCTCTAAAAATTAAACAAATAACACGTTACTCTAAAGCAGCCAAAGACAAACACCTGCTTTCACGTCACCGATCGGGGTTCAACAAAAGTAAAAAGTCAGCAGCAGCAGTTTTCCACCTTGTGATTGATTGTTGATTTGCCGTTCAGATGTGTTGATTACCTGCAGCTGAGGTCCTCTGCTCCCAGCGGAGAACACCAAGTCTTAATGTTGTACTGTTGAATCTGGCCCCATTAACTTTCACAGCAGGAGTGTGTGTTTGTTTGATTGTGTGTGTGTGTGTTCGCGTTTATGTGGTGAACAGTTTCTTCAGATCAGCAATATATCGGTACAGCTATATCACTGGAAGATGTTTTTATTTTGATTTTGACATGCTTGTATTTTTAGTAACTTCTCTGCGCTAAGGAAAAATAATCAGAAGATGTTTCATTCACGAGTCACATCTGAAGCTTCTCCGAAATTCAGTTTGGGAACGGGACACAGCTCTTTCTGCTCAAGTTAAACGGACATTTCTTTTTCTTTTTTTAAAACTGGATTATTACAACTCATCTCTTGTCATTGTACTAGCCAGCTGCTGTAATGAGAAGGAAAAAAAAAAAAGAAATGAGATGCCAGGTGTAAGTATTCCAGTATTTGAAAAGGTATTTATAGAATATGTACAGCTTTGGCAATATAATAAAGTTGTCCCAAATGAAGCTCAGCGTAGTTCATTGTCCTTCATGACGAAAAATAAAGTGTGTGAACAAGTGGAAGCTTTAAAAAGGTTTATTTTCAACATGCCGGGTTTACAAAAGCATGTTTGCATGATAGTTTGAAAGGTTTAAGACTGGATAAAGACGCATTATTAAAACGTGCAAAATACAAAGCCGACCAAAGCTAAAAGGTTCAAGCTGCCACAGAGGACGAACCTTCAAACCCACCGCCGCTAAGCTCGACTCTGACCAGGCTTCACCTGGTTGTTCTTGCCATGGAGCGTACATCCATGTTGTCTTTCTTTTTCTCTCTAGGGTTACATGAGTAAGTGTAAATATGTACAAAAAAAATGCATTAAATGCATCAAATAAAGTGGTAGGGTTGTACCGAAGCAGATTGTCTGGGCTCTTTGGCTACAGGAGATCAACATGCAGATTCTCTCAACAGTAACGGCAGCGAGCACAGAAGACTCATCAATCTCTAGCAGCTTGACGACACATCAGTCAACAAAAACTGGCCATATTGAAACATAAAGTCACTGTGCAGCTTAATGATATCATTAAAACAGTTTGTGGGAATTCACCTGTGTCACAGAAAAGTATTTTAGATACTTTTCTCTGAAACGTCCCAGTCGAGTGGAGGTGAAAGAAATGTAACGTATGCTGCTGAAATAGTTAATCCAGATAAGCCACAGAACTCTGTCAATAGTTTTCTTTACTAGAACTATCAATCCTTTGTGCACCACACACAAATCTATCCACCCTAACCACATTCAGGCACTAGCAGGAGTTTTAAAAGCGTGTTGACCAAAGATAAGCTAAGATAAATACGCTGGTTTTCAGGTAATGCTATGTTTTTACATGGTTTATTGATCGTAAGAAGCAGTAATTTTCTAGATAATCTTTAACTCCCTAAATTTGGAAATAAACACTGTCTGAAAACCTCAGCAGATAAGAACCAAAATCAGTGTGTTTGGCCTCTCCGGTTAAGTAGAGAAGAACGTTCAGTATGTCTTTGTAATTTGGTTGAACTGACCCTTTAAATTTAATTTACAGTTACTAAATACTGCCACCTGTAGCACAGAGACTGTGCTGTGGCTTAAGGCAATTTTGAGCATGGAGGGAAAGTCAATGACATCACTTCCTTTATGTAGGCACAGGAGTAACGAGTGGAGGTAGCAAGAAACTAACAGGCGGAGAGGAGAGTAAAACTTAAACGTAATAAAAAGTTGTATGACATAATTTACATGGAGGCTGTGTCAGAATTCACTCCCCTCCTTATATAAAGTCAAAGACACTCAGCTGTTTAATATTGTTGTCCTGAACCAAATCTTTAACCATTGAACCAGGAATGATAAGTTAGTTTATAAAACTTATAAATTACTCAATATCATAATCATAATGTGGAGAACTCAGGACAATGTATAAAACCTCGTGGTCAAATTTAAGCTTATAAAAACTTTTTTGTCTCTAGTCACGATGACTTCTTTTTCTTTGCATTGCAGTGTTGCACTGTTACAAGTTTGAAAAGTTGTCATCATCATTTAAAGTTAAAGGAAAACTTCCTAACTCGCAATCATTGTCAGAGATTTAGCTCTTGACCTGATGTGAGATACTTCAGCGTCTTTGCACATCGCCCTCAGCGTTTTTTTTTTTTTTTTTTTTAAAAGCAACATTTAATTTAAATCCTAGATTGTTTGTTTTTTTTTGGCCGCCTGACATTATTTAGATTCTCTGCAAAGGCTGTAACCTTTTTTTTTTCTTCACACGTTCTCATGGACGCAGCTGCGGAGTATCCGGAGGCGAGACATGACTTCGTCCCAGTCCAGGTACGCGCCCTCCAGGTGTCGCAGCCTGTCTGGTCTGCTAATGTAGCTCCGGCGTCCGTGAAGCAGACGCCAGTTATCAAAGGTCACCAAGTCACCTGAAATACAACACCACACAAACATCAGATATGAAGGTATAGGATACATTTCATTTGACCCTCGGTTTGTCTCAGTAAGGAATTTCATTTAGTCATTCATCCCACTTCATTCAGGGAGATCACAGTTTAGGGTTTGTTTCAGAACAAAGGCCTTCAAATAAAACTGTCTGAAGGTGTTTGAATGTGGAAGCGCAATTACCTTGCTAGTTATTTAAGCTAGTGTTATCAACACACCTAAGTAAAGAATAAAACTTATACATACATACATAAAATTACATACAAATAAACACATACCCATTCAAATATACATACCATTGCATACACACACTATTACACACACAGCAATATTTACATACATACATGTATACTGTATATACATATGCTTTGTCTATTTATGCCTTACTATATACTGTGACATTTTTTAATACTTTTTATACCTTACTATACTATGATGTTTTTATGACTTGTTCATGCCTTACTATACTTTGTCGTTTTATGCCTTATTGTACTATGACGTTTTTATGACTTTTTGATACCTTACTATACTATGGCGATTTTAATACTTTTTATACCTTACTATACCTTGATGTTTTTTTTTTACTTTTTCATGCCTTACTATACTATGACGTTTTTATGACTTTTTCATGCCTTACTATACTATGATGTTTTTATGCCTTACTATATTTTTGGCGTTTTAATACTTTTTCATGCCTTAGTATACTTTGTCGTTTTAAGCCTTACTATACTATGATGTTTTTATACCTTACTATACTATGACATTTTGATGCCTTACTATACTACGTCGTTTTTATGACTTTTTGATACCTTACTATACTTTGTCTTTTTATACCTTACTACACTNATACATGTATACTGTATATACATATGCTTTGTCTATTTATGCCTTACTATATACTGTGACATTTTTTAATACTTTTTATACCTTACTATACTATGATGTTTTTATGACTTGTTCATGCCTTACTATACTTTGTCGTTTTATGCCTTATTGTACTATGACGTTTTTATGACTTTTTGATACCTTACTATACTATGGCGATTTTAATACTTTTTATACCTTACTATACCTTGATGTTTTTTTTTTTACTTTTTCATGCCTTACTATACTATGACGTTTTTATGACTTTTTCATGCCTTACTATACTATGATGTTTTTATGCCTTACTATATTTTTGGCGTTTTAATACTTTTTCATGCCTTAGTATACTTTGTCGTTTTAAGCCTTACTATACTATGATGTTTTTATACCTTACTATACTATGACATTTTGATGCCTTACTATACTACGTCGTTTTTATGACTTTTTGATACCTTACTATACTTTGTCTTTTTATACCTTACTACACTATGACGTTTTTATGCCTTACTATGTTATGGCGTTTTTAATACTTTTTATACCTTACTATACTATGACGTTTTGATGCATGACTATACTATGACGTTTGACATTTTCATGCCTTTCTGTACTATTTCATTTGATGCATTACCCTACTATGATGTTTTTATGACCTTTCATGCCTCAATATACTATCATGTTTTTTTGATGTTTTATGCCATACTATACTATGACGTTTTGATGCATGACTATACTATGACGTTTGACATTTTCATGCCTTTCTGTACTATTTCATTTGATGCATTACCCTACTATGATGTTTTTATGACCTTTCATGCCTCAATATACTATCATGTTTTTTTGATGTTTTATGCCATACTATACTATGACGTTTTGATGCATGACTATACTATGACGTTTGACATTTTCATGCCTTTCTGTACTATTTCATTTGATGCATTACCCTACTATGATGTTTTTATGACCTTTCATGCCTCAATATACTATCATGTTTTTTTGATGTTTTATGCCATACTATACTATGACGTTTTGATGCATGACTATACTATGACGTTTGACATTTTCATGCCTTTCTGTACTATTTCATTTGATGCATTACCCTACTATGATGTTTTTATGACCTTTCATGCCTCAATATACTATCATGTTTTTTTGATGTTTTATGCCATACTATACTATGACGTTTTGATGCATGACTATACTATGACGTTTGACATTTTCATGCCTTTCTGTACTATTTCATTTGATGCATTACCCTACTATGATGTTTTTATGACCTTTCATGCCTCAATATACTATCATGTTTTTTTGATGTTTTATGCCATACTATACTATGACGTTTTGATGCATGACTATACTATGACGTTTGACATTTTCATGCCTTTCTGTACTATTTCATTTGATGCATTACCCTACTATGATGTTTTTATGACCTTTCATGCCTCAATATACTATCATGTTTTTTTGATGTTTTATGCCATACTATACTATGACGTTTTTTGTCATTTTCATGCCTTATTATGCTATTTCATTTGATACATTACCATACTATGATGTTTTTATGACCTTTCATGCCTCAATATACTATCATGTTTTTTTGATGTTTTATGCCATACTATACTATGACATTTTTTGACATTTTCATGCCATACTATACTATGATGTTTTTTGTCGTTTTCATGCCTTATTATTCTATTTCATTTGATGCATTACCATACTATGATGTTTTTATGACCTTTCATGCCTTAATAAACTATCATGTTTTTTTGATGTTTTATGCCATACTATACTATGATGTTTATTGGCATTTTTATGCCATACTATACTATGACATTTTTTGACATTTTCATGCCTTTCTGTACTATTTCATTTGATGCATTACCATACTATGATGTTTTTATGACCTTTCATGCCT